CTTTCTCGGAGTATCTTATTAATAATAGACGCGAGAGTACGGGGAATCTTAAAGTTAGGATATTACTAAGCTTTATAAGATATAGTCTTAATACGCTAGGCCGATATAACTTCTTTATAAATATAACTTATATATTCCTAAGACTATATAAGTACCCCTTCCCTCTTAAATAATAGCTTATATAATAATAGTCTCTCTCTAGGGAGAAGAGCTATACTAATAAGTAGTGTTTTCTCTCTCTTAGGCGTAAGCCTAGTACCTCTTATAATAGTTACTATACGAGATTATAATAAGTTATTAAATTTAGAGGAAGTATTAGCGGCGCGGTACTTTATATAGTACTTTTTAAGGTATATCCTTTATTAATTAGGGTTACCGATAGGGATCGATCTATCGGAATCAGATAAATTAACTAGGTATATCTTATCTACCTTCCTTTTATAAAGGGTATTAACTTATATACGGTAGGTAATATAGTTCCTTAATTAAAGGGTATTAGGTAGTCTTATCTTAGGGAATCCTAGCTTTAGTATAATAAAGTCTAAAAAGGATATACGGTACTTAACTTTATCGAAATAGGCAATATTAGCTATAGTCTTCTAGCGATAATAAGGATCTATTAGATATTAGATCTATAAGGTATTAAGATAAAAAGAGATCTTTTTAGCTAAAAAACTATTTACCTTATAATTTATCTCCCCTATATAATTCTTCTTCTCTTATCGCTATATTTTTATATTTTCTTACTTTCTATATATTTTTATTATTTCTTCTTTAATTATTATTATATTTATAGTATTCGATAGTGCTATTAAGTGAATAGTCTTAGTAGACTTAGTCGCTAGGACAGAGATAGGTATTAAGGCGGCTACTAAATACCTACTTAAGCTTTTAAACTAAAAGTCTTATATTCTTTAGGCTAGAGTTAGTCTTTATAGAAGGATCCCTTATTCCGTGGATAATACGCTTTAAAGCTAACGCGCTTCCTTCTATTCTAACTTAATATTATATAGATAACCCTCCTATTATCTTTCTCAGAGGTTTATAGTAATATATCTTTCGCCTATATCCTACTAAGTAAGAGATTATTTATATAACTATCCCTAACTATAGTATATAACTTAGTTATGATATCACTAATATTAATTAGTAAATTCTTAATATAAGCACTAACTACGAACTTACCGCTATTAATAGAAATAAGCTTTAGCCTTAGCTTTAGCTATATCTACGCCTATATAGATTAGGCGATATCTCTGCGGATAATATTAACTAATAATCTAATATTAATATATACCTTAATTACTTATCCGCTAACAGAAACTATTATAAATAGGAGGTCTCTAGAGTATTTATAGGGAGAAGATATAGGTAAGATATCTGCTATCTAGGTATTTTAGTAGCTTACTTTCGTAGCTAAATCTTTTATATTAATAGGACTACCTATCTCCTAATAGTACTTAGTAATATCTCTTATAATTTAGTTAATCTTACCTTCTACTTCCTTTAAGAGAGAGATATCTATAAAGTTCGACTAAGTATATACTTATAAGAGTATCTTATTAATACGCTAGTTAATAATATCTATATTAATACCTTTACCTATTTTAGCGTATATCTTCGGAGTAGACCTAGTGAGCTTATTAATTATAAGGATAATCTTAGTTTCCTATATCTTTCGTATTATAATATCCGAAAGCTAAGATCTTCGCTATATAATATCTAGGTTAATAGGGCCGCGGACTCTTCTTAGAACCTAGCTATATAGCGAAGTAGCTTCTTACTAAGACTATATAGTTTAAGTCTCTTTAGGCTATCTATCTTATATTATATTATTATTATTAGTATTAATAATATACGGTTAGAATCTGCTAGTCTAGGAGTTCCTTATTTTAGTAATATCTTAGTCTCTGCGATACTTTATAGGATAGCCTTTAATAACGTTAATAGCACTAAATAGGATAATTACTTCCTTATCCTCGCTTTCCTTAAGCTTCTCCTATATAGGCGCGATACTAAGAAGCGTAATAATAATAGAGTAAATAGATATATTTAGGTTCGTAAGATAAGTAAGAGTAGGAAGAGTAATATAAGCGATATTATTACTTAGCTATATAGATACTCTATATAACTCTTACTTCTTTTAGTTATTATATTGCGCTTAGAAGGCTTCTTAGTTTAATTATCCTAGGATCACGCGTAGTCTTAGGCCTAGTTATTTAATAGTGCCTAAAACTATCTAATTCGTAGTATTATAGTATATAATATTATAGCCTTATATATCGCGGATAGATAGATATTAATCTAGTTAAGAGAAATAGGCACCCCTATATATTTAGTATTTTACTAAAGAATTAGCGCTAAGGCTATTCGAAGGGTTTCTTCTATTAGGCTTATATTAAATATTATTCCTTATATCTTAGCTAGCCTATAGCTTAAGAGTAAGTGCCTCTATCTATAATTATATTTCTCTAAGCTTCCTATCCTATTTATCCTAACGCTAAACCTAACTAACGGTTAGTTAATAATTTTTCTAAGGCTTCGTAATAGTAGTAGGTAACTACTATAATAAATAAAGTTATTAGTTACGCTTAGGGTTACTTAGAGAAGATTCGATAGTTAAAAGAATTCTCTAAATATCGGTTTCCTCTCTAATATATAACCTAATTATTATATATATCTCTGAATAAGTAATTAGTGTCCCTCTCGGTAACTACTTACGAGAATATCTTCTAATAATCTTCTCCTTAAGCTACTACAAAAGTCCTTAGATAAGGAGACTTACCCTATCTATATCGCTAACCTCGCCTTTTAAGTAGATATAGCTAGAGATATTATCGAACTTATTAAGATATTAGCGGATATTATCCTATATTATCCGCTTAACCTATATAAGGGATTAAAGATATATCTTTATATACCTTTACTACTCGCTATTATTATTATAGAAATACTCTAAGAAAGCTTCTTTAAAGGTATCTTAGTCCTTTCTTAGCTAGGAGTCTTATCTCTTTACCTAAGACTTAGTGACCTTCGCGTAGTACTAAGATAATATACCTATAATATCTTTATCGCTTTTAACGCTATATCTAAAATATATATCCTATAATTTCTCTAGGAACTTAGAGATATCGGTCTTATTAAAGTATAGTGCTCCTAGGGATCCTAAAGCTAATAATATAGAGAAATAAGGCACTTAAATTATATAAGGATAAGGTATAGCCTATACCCTACTAGGCGGTTCGGCTAAGGATAATAGTGGCTAGTACTTATAATCTATATTATCTATATAATTCTTATTACTTAGGGTTAATTCGGATCTTTCTAGTATAGGTTCACGGTAATCTATAAAGGTTAGAATACCCTTAGGGTCCGATAGCTTAGGAGCTATTATACCTTATATGCTATACGCTATTACTTACTTATAGAAAAGAGATAGCTTTTTGGCTAAAAAGAAATACTAACTCTATACGCTTTACTTTTAATTATATCTCTTTAATAATTCTTCTTTTTCTTCCTTTTTTCTTATTAAGGCCGCTTCCTCTTCTTATAATTTATAATATAGAATTATTTATATTAATATTATCTATATAGTAGAGTACTATAGCTATCGGATACCTAGGTACCCCTACTTAGCTACCGTATTTAATTAGATAGGCTATATCTTTAGTAATATCTGAAGTACCGCCGTATATCCCGTATATTAGTCCGATAGTATTCCTCGTAGGAACTAGGTATATTTAGGAGAACACTATATCTCGGCTAGTCACTTATTTGTCCGCACCGACTATATACCGTCATAATCACTAGTAAATATAGCCTCCCGCTTAAGGTCTCAGATAGTCTTATAGCCTTTAGGGTCAAACGCGATCCCCACCCTTTAGGTATATATTTCTTTGTATAGTGATGTGCCTTGATAAAAGAGCCTTCCCGGGGACGCCAATATAAAATGGGAATGGCTCGATAGCTGTCTGGCGATACAGACTAGATAACACACACATATACACTGCCTGTCTGGTGTAGAGGATGCTAGATAAGGCCGTACTGATGCCCTATTGCGGCCGTGCGGGATAATCTTAATACTATATTATAGATAGAAGAAATTGGGTGAATCCTGAATGAATTAGGTAGATGACTTCTCTCCCTCTAAGTGTGTCTGGAGATATACTATGCACTGCAGACATTAAATCATGCCTGAGGCCACACATAGGCTCATTATGTCACCAATTCTCCCACTACATTAGATATTTTTAAATTGATAAAATACTACTAAAGGATAGTAGTTTCCTTGTCAAAATACTAACTGTTATGACGCATAACTATCTTAAGGACTAAGGGAAAATATGATCTGGAAGGAGCTATAAGGCTAACCCGATTTATTATAGAACTAATTTAAATTTATAGTTACTTATTTCTCTCTTTCTCTCTTTTCCCTCTCTCTAGTTTAGTTACTCTATCAATGATACACGAATTCTTTCTCGTCTTCAGTCGGTAACAATACGAATTCTTCTCGTCTTGGTCCGTAACAATTACTAGGGTTTGCCAGTCGAATCAATGCCCCAGCCTTCGAGGGGAGGTTTCTACGTCAGCCTAGTAGCGAGCCTTGAGAACAAACAGAATCTCGCGCCGAGCTACGAGTTGCTGCTGAGATTGGCAAAACGGGAATATTTCTTTCATAGCCATCCAGGTTATGGTTTTTTTGCCGCTGCCACTCCTGAAAGATCAGGCATGAATCTATGTCAAGCGCACAGAATCCACTCGCAAAATGGCGCGGGGACACACCGACTTCTAATAGACATGGAGCGCCGGAGTCCTTCCGAGCACAGGGCGCAGAGGAGAAACGGGATTGAAATTTTGAAATTGCCGCCAATTTCCGTTTCTACGTGGTCCTGCTTGTGACCATGACACCAAGAACGCCAACATTCATGCGATGGCTGCTCTTCTCCGTTCATACACCGGATGCGCTTGAAGTGTTGGCCTCAAGCAGCAGAGGTCTGTGGCTAAAATAGATCCTCTTCCTTTACGTCGACGAGAATATTCATACCCCAGCCATCCCTGCCCCCAATCCAGTTCTTGCGTTTCCCTACCTTCTCAATTTTTTTCACATCGTGCTCCAGCTCCGCTTTCAAGTGTGTTGGGTCAGAAGAAACTCTTTGAATGGTGATTTCCAATTTTAAGCCAGATTTGTTCCCCTTTTTGCCAAGACCACTCGCCCACACCGCGGATGGAACGATGCGCGGCTTAAATGTGTCAATGGACCCAGTTGGGTAAAGCTGGCTCAGGACAAGGCCCCATTTTCCAATGTAACGTGTCCACCAGACTTCCTCTGGGGTGAGTATTTCCTGGAGATGAGACTTGAATTCCACATCACGTGGTGGAAGCTCTCCACCGTAACGCTCTTGAAGCATCAAAGCCAAGAGCGCACGATGTGAGTGGGGAATGCCGTGCGTCGAGGCAAGAATTCCCGTACTCGTACTGTAAAGTGCAGCACTAGAGGAGAGCTCTTTGGCCATGGTGGAATGCACATAAAGAGCATTGGCAAATGCTTGAATAAGATGCACGCTAAGAGAAGTCGGGACGGACCGATCGGCTGAAGGGCGAGGAAGAGCAGCGAGCATCAACGCTGAAATAGAGTCCGCCGAGGAAGAAGCGTATCGGCTGGTGGCAACTTCCAAAGGATCTTGCTGACGGACGACTGGTAACATCTCGCGGAATAACACGCCTTCGCGTACGCCGCCCTGGCAGAAATGAGCCTCCTTAATTCCATGCGGTAATGACTCGGCCAGAACATTCACTAAAAACGCGACTGAGGGCACCTGTGCCCGGCGTCGATCCGATACCCTAAAGATCTGGTGTGCCGTCCGTGCCACTTCCTCGAGGGCCTCGGTATTCTCGAAATCTTCCTTGGGCGCCGAATAACCGTTGATGATGGAGATAGGGTAGCTTTGACCCCGAGTTTGATGGAGATAAAGGAGCAGGTATCCCCAGCCACGAAAGCCACCACCGGACAGGTAAAGGGGGAAGCCGCCCTGTTCCCTTGCCTTCTTGACCATGCTCTCAGGGACTTCGAGCTTTTCAAACGCGGCTCGGAAGTTGCTTGCCATCTCATTGCGGAAGTGTTCCTTGGCTTTTCGAGCTTCTCCCTTGCTTTTATCTCTCTTCAAATCGGCAAGCCTCTGGGTCAAAGCTGCCGCTCCATAGGGAAAGCTAACAGATCCCTGTGGGCTGATGTCCACGTTGCCGGAGTGCGAGATGATCCAGGTCATTTGCATACTTCCTCCTCCAAGATCGAGTGCCAGGCCCTCCACGTCCGAAAAACTGCTTGCAATGCCCCATGCGCCAACGATGCCTTCTTGCTCCTTCGGTAGCATCGCAACAGACAGGCCCGTTGCATCGCGGATTGCATCGGTGAATGCCGTAGAGTTCACGGCCGTACGAGTAGCCTCAGTGGCAATGAGTCGAATGTTCTCGGAAATAACACCGATTTCCACGCATATGATTTGAAATCGAACGATGGCACTGACAACTCGGTCAATCACCGACTGTGGGATCGGGATACGGCTGCCACTGTCGGGATCGATCTGGGCTTCGTAAAGGGAAATGTTGACTCGGTGAAAGTGGACCGTCGGAATGACGCGAGTCACAGGAGCAGAAAGGTCGGAAATCGAGCAGCGAATACCATTGCTACTTCGTGTTAATTCTTATGTTCGGTACGCGGATATAGGACCAGCCAATACCTGCCCAAGTCTACCACAGCTTGGAGATGGGGATTCTGGCTTGCGATTGCAGTTCCATCCATCTTTTTGGAGCCAGGATCACAGGGAATGTTCTTGCCTCCTCCCATCTTGAATTTTGTTTGATCTTGTTGACACAGTGCCCGCTGTCCCACTATTTGGCGAGATCTGTGTGACATCACAATGTACTCACCGCCATAAATTCTGCCAGATGCACACTGATGCCTGAAGGTGCCTGAATATGGTTCGCGACATCCGTCGCGCAGCTGTTTCCTTAGTTCAGAATCGATGATTTACCAGATACTTTCCTCGACTTCCAGCTCCCAGAAGACTACCTCACCAAACAACGTGATTCTGCCACTGAACCCGTGTATGGAGCAGAGATACTTCCCTCAGGGGCCACCTCACCCACTAACTTCTTTTTCTGACTATGGTCAGCTCAAACTGGGAACAATTTCCTCCGCTCCCTGTTGTCCGTGCATTGCTCGGACATCCGACCGAAATGCAACATACCCCATGAACTCTCCACGCCATTCCTGCCCGTTAGAGAAACCAACAAGACGATCGGCGGGGTGTCCTTGAATCCTTCAAACAGGAATAGGCTAATTGGGCGCATGATACAAGCTTAAAATGCCCGGGGCCCGAACAAGCACTTGATCGGGTATTAGGAGCAAGATGCATTTCCATCTTTTGGCCTGATCTCCCTCTACGTGGGGAGGAGCTTGGCGGCTCCGGCGCAGGATTACCACCAACCTAACTCCAAAGGATATCGCATGCAACATGGGTTTGAGACTGTTTTAGTGCAGCCCTTTGGCTATGATGGCTTCCGAGTGCGTGCTTGGCCGTTTCGTCTCCCGACAGGACATGAAATCGGCTTTGTGTATGATCCTCCACTTGAAGGGCCCGAGGATGGCGAGGCACATGGCATGGGCTTCGATACTGCCCCCAAAGGCAATCAATCTTCAGTCGGAAGAGCTCCGCAATGGCAACATGATTGTGCGCACATCCGGATGGGGTGGCAATCCTGGTGGATATCGTCTAGCATCCTACAGGGTAGAAGCCAATGGTACAGAAACGCTGCTCACGAATGAGTATGCGCCGCTTAAATCGACCAATCCACGATAGTACTCGTGGAATGGCCTCGGAAGCGAGTTCAACGCAGAATTCTCCTTCAGCACAACACCGAAAGAACAAATTTATGGAACAGGCACCCAGTAGGACTATCTTGTCAATAAGAAGGTATTGACCATTGACCTCATCAATTTCAATACGCACATTCCAACCTCAGTATTTATGAGCAACAAAGGCTATGGATTTGTGTGGAACATGCCATCAACCGGTCGAATGGAATTCGGCCCGCTACGCGACAGATTCACGGCGAATGCAGCAACAGTCGTTGACTACGTGTTAGTAACTTCATCAAAAGCCGGTGATTACGATACGCTTCAGCAACGTCTTTCAGCTATCACGGGAAGGGGCCCTATTCCGCCAGACTGGTCACTAGGTTACATTCAATCAAAATTACGCTATGAAAATCAGACCGAGGTGGTTTCGCTTGCCGAAGAGTTCCAGAGACGCCAAATTCCTGTATCAATGATTGTCATTGACTTCCAATCATGGGCTCACCAAGGCGACTGGGCCCTCGATCCACACCTTTGGCCTGATGTGGCTGAAATGTCGCATAAGGTCATCAAGCTGACCAAGGCCGAGATGATGGCATCCCTTTGGCCTAGCGTGGCGGACAATAGTGTGAATTATCTGGAGATGATGGCACAAGGTTTCCTCTCTGCCACTCGATCTGGCCCGGCACGACTGACTCTTGGAATGGCTCCTACATCCGAAACTACGATTCGACCAACCCACGCGCCCGCTCTTACTTGTGGGATACACTTAAGAAAGATTATTTTGACAAGGGCATCCAAAACTTTTGGATTGACCAGGCTGATGGCGGATCTCTGGGCGAGGCACACGAAAATAATGGTCAGAGTAGCTACATCGAATCCATCCCATTTGCGCTCCCGGATGTGTTATATGCGGCTGGGACCCAAAGCAGCGTCGGCAAGTTATACCAATGGGCCCATCAGCAAGCCATCGAAGAGGAGCTTCGGAATGCGACATCCACAAAAATGGGAAGTCCTTGTGATTATCTCTCGTTGAGTCGGTCGGGTTATATTGGCTCGCAGAGATTCTGCAGTATGATCTGGTCCAATGACACCACTGCGGTTTGGGAAACACTCAGTGCCCAGGTGGCTAGTGGTTTATCGGCAGCTGCGACCGGATGGGGCTGGTGGACCCTGGACGCTGGAGGATTCCCAAGCAGATCCAACAGTACCCTGGAGCGCGAACATCGATACCCCAGAATATCGCGAACTTTATGTCCGATGGCTACAGTGGACAACTTTCCTCCCTTTCATGCGCACCCATGGCTCGAGGGCGTGCAATACCCAGGATGCCTACACATGTGCTAACGAGCCATGGTCATATGGAGCACTGAACACCCCGATCATTGTCTCTTATATTCATCTTCGCTACCAATTGGCCTCATACATCCGCGAGGTTTTTTTTCTCAATTTCAAGTCCGGTCGTATGATGATGCGCCCGCTCTACATGGACGTCGGAATTTCAGACCCTCAGATCTCAGTGTGGACTCGGATAATAGCAACATTACAACGCAGCAATATTTCGCAAACGCCAAGGGTGGGCGCCCATACTTCTTGATCGCTAGCCAGCAAGGCAATCCTAAAGTTATAGAAAGTCGATATGTTGGGGTGTCGTGACAACATATAGGCATGGGATCCAGGATCAAAGGGGCCTCGAGCCAGCGCCACAACGGCCATTCATGGGACCATTTCAGCTTAGGGGTAAGGTGTCATATCGGGTATATACAATTGCCGGCAATGCTGCTGTCATTATATTTCTTTCTTTGTGGGTTCAATACAGACGAAGACGATATTGTCACTCGCGAAACCAGTCGATGGGGAAAGATAGTCAAAAGTATCGAGCCGGTTGGTCTAACCTACTCTCGTGAGTCATGGGGAGAGGGGCTTTATAGAGACCACTTGGGATTATTCAAGACCGCTTCGGAGGACATCCCGAATAGAGACCGGGTGATGACCCGAATACCCGAAATCTTTGCCTGGACCCCAGTTTAACCCCATGGCTGAGAGATCTCCCTCGGTAGGGCAACCGAAATGCGGAATTGGTTCTTGATCAACTTATTGGGATGTAATTAGAACAATGCTCTCAGAAAGCTCGAAAAAGCGGTATCCTTCCGTCCCCACAGTCCCACCACCGACCAGTACCCATACCCGTCCCCATGGGAGTACTTGAATGTCCGCCACATTCAAGTTCTGAACTTATTTAAGGACTTGCGGACGCGCATCAAACTCCGTGGCATCTGGTGACCTTTAACCCTCAGATTCAAACCCAACTCTTCACGAATCTACTTCGCAAACCCCACACATACGTCGACATTGCAACCTGGCAATATCAATCAACGCCACTAGGTGGTATTACTCAAAGATACCCCCTCCAATCTAGAACATGAAGGCCTCAAGCGCGGAAATCTCCCACTTGGACAACCTGGACTCCAGCCTTCCGATTGAACTTGTCCCTAAAGATGGAAGCACCCAGACAATGCCATCTCAAGATCCTCGAACTTGGTCACCGGGAAGAAGAATGCCCAGATTCTGATGGTCGCGTTTCATTCTATGATGTGCACTTTCATGGCCGCAGGAATAATCCCCGCTTACGGCACACTGGCCAAAGCTTACAACATCACAGTTCCAGAAGCTAGTTACTTGACATCTTTCCAGGTATGTACCGCAAAAAAGCTCGACACGTGCAAACTCAATGCTGAACAGACTGCTCACAATTTTGTGCAAGATTCTGCTCCTTGGTCTATCCCCTTTGATCTGGAATCCCATCACTGCAGTTTACGGACGATATAATGTCAGCTTATTCTCTGTTCTGGGTAGTATGGTGTGCAATATCGGCGGTGCACTTTGTACGTCATATGGCGCGCAAATGACTACACGTGTTCTCACGGCTTTCTTGATATCGCCCCCAATTGGAATGGGCAGTGGAGTGATTACGGATTTATGCGACTCTGAACAAATTGCCCAGAAGTTGGGGTGGTGGACCCTCATGACCACGATTGGAACGCCGATAGGCCCTTTTATCATGGGCTTTGTGACACAGCATATTGGTGTTCAGTGGATTTTCTGGATCTTCGCCATCATCAATTTCTGTCAGTTCCTATTTTATCTAGTGTTCGGGGATGAAACTATCTACAATGCTGCCAACGAGCGGCAGAACAACGGGTTTTTTGCAAAGATGATTCCCCGCCAGATCAGCTCACGCTCGCTACATCTCTACGATTTTGTGGCTCCACTCTCCTTGGCCCAATATCCTCGCGTCTTGATAGCAGCGTGTGCCCATGCTATTACGTTCTGCTATGGGAACATTGCTCTGATTGTGGAGATGCCTATTGCCTTCGGAGAGAAATTCGATTTCAATGCTCAGCAGATTGGATTGCAATTCATTGCCATCATGATTGGTTGTGTCTTGGGCGAACAAGCGAGCGGCCCAATGTCAGATTGGTTTATGCAACGTTTACGCAAGACCAGGAAGCATTCTTGCCCAGCCGATCGCTTGTGGCTCTCTTATATTGCATTTTCTACTGTGATCTCCGGCTTATTGACTTGGGGATTCCAGCTGCAGCATGCTACATCTTGGAATGTCACCCCTTGCGTCGGGGCTGCTATTGCTAGTTTTGGCAACCAGATGCAGACCACAATTTTTACCACATTTGCTGTTGAAAGCAAACAGGAAAGATCTGCCCAGGTTGGCGTTTTCGTGAATATCTGTCGACAATTGTTTGGATTTGTGAGATTCTTCTGCTTAGGCGTTCCACACTTTCTTCATTGCATAGTTCTAACTTCTTTGGCATATAGCTTGGACCATTTTATTTCCCACAAATGTTTGCTGCATTGGGGCTGGGTGGGGCTGCCGGGGTAATGGTCGCCATTATCGGTGGATGCGCTTTGGTTCCGATCATTGCCATTCAAATTACCGCCACTAAACTGGACAAAGTCGGCACGGAGTGAGAATTCTCAATAATGGGATTGTCTAAGTGGATTCCACATCAGGCTCAGGATTGAGCAGTCTACATCTATCTCTGACGACCGGCAAGCGCCGTTCTATGACATAATTCAAATTGGAGTCATAATTGATTATGGAATACAGCGGCCTAACATTTGGTCGTTTGAATATAACTTGGTAATACACCGTTCGGCCGTCCTATATAAGATTGCTTGGGACACTATTGAGCCAAGACATATCTTGAAAATCAAGTAGCTCAAATCCCTCCATCATTGTCGCGTTCACACCTTCTCCAAAAGAAACATCGTGGAGAGTACCCGGAACATGAACTGTGAACTCCGGGGCGGAGGCATGACCCATAAGCGGTTGGCTTTCGGAAACCACCTGCTCGTATAGTATTTCAAGGGCTGCCACACAACGCCGAGCTGATGTGCTATATTTCTGGTATTTGCGGAGAATTTCCAGAGCACATTCCCAAGAGTGTGTAATAGAAGCCTCCGTGACCTCGGAGAGAATAGGCGAGCATAAGCGACCGGCTATCAGAACGGTCGCAGCAGTGTATATGTCTGCATCATTAGAGACCTTGTATGTGATTCTTTAGCAGGGGTCACTCACAAAGAATGTTGTACCACCATGCTGGCAGCGGGCCTCCTGTGCCATCGATCGGCACATTATCGTGAATAATTTTAATCATTTGTTGTGCAACTCGCACGCAAATCACAGAGCATTGTAATGCTACACGATGCGGAAATGAATCGTGTCGAGCATTGATCGAACGAGCCCCCGTGTTGTCACGGATGGCGCAATATTTTGAAAGCGTGGGACGGAAGAGTAAGATTCGTGTATGAAGGAATCTGTCAATGACCCTTATCAACTGCCATCGCGATGCTGGAGGCGCCTGCATAAGTTCACTTCTTACCTTGCTTGTAAAACGACAGACTGTCGAAAGAATATCGGACTGTCAGATCGACTTGAAGATCCTGGACAGAGATGTGCCGGTAGATTTCGAGCCCATCGATCCAGGGAGCGGTCAAGGTCGAAGACGGTGCGCTCACCCTCGCTGACAGCAGTGTTGAAGTAAAAATCATGAACATCGGTTGGGCTATCTTCTGCGGCTGGTTTGTACAGGCTGAGAAGAACATCGTTCATGATCTCGTACAGCTCAAGAGTTTTGATGTAGAAGGCCATCATAGATGCCTTCTCCACGGGTTGAGCGGGTTCCGCAGTGCTGCTGGAGATGATGTACTCATCGTCCACTTTCACGGGCAGAGGAACCGCTCCACTCGAAATTTTGGATATCATTGCCGGTCGGCCGAATGTCATTGATATGACGCTGAAAGATGTGAGCAGTGTTAGAACAAGGGAGACTGTAAAGAATTGGTTATCATATTACCGATCCATTAAAACACATCCATGCCATAGCTTTCGTGCTAGTTGCTTCTCCTGAAAGCTGTGTAGTTGAGCAATGGTCTGAGGAAGATGCAGACCGAGACTTTGCGCATTACGAATGGCCAGCCCGGTCACAATCCAACATTGATGCGCTGAGTTCGTACTCTGTAGATATTGTGCCATGAGGAGCAGGCATTGGATCAACCCCGCAGAGCCTGTGTTCCACAAATTGAATTTGAAAAGATCCTTGGCGCGGGAAAAATATGTATCTGCCCAGGATTCTCTTTCTTCCGCTGGAATGAAGTCGGCCAATTGACAAGCAAGAGCGAAGACGACATTGAAAGTACACATGGCCATGTGTTCGTCCCGTTGCAAAGTAACTCCGTGCCATATCTTGCTGTACTCATCTTTCATATGTGTACTATCCACAAAGGGATACAGAGGGAAGACATAATCCCAATAAACGTTCATCAAATCGTCGGCAATCCTTCGCGGGGAAGGACATAGTTTGAAACCCCTGAAAGAGATTTCTCATTTGGCACGTCCAAGAAACTCGAGCGAGAAGTGGTCTCCGGAGCTGATGAATTCATATCTGGAGATGACATCCTCTGATCGACGGCAGTTTTGATCTGCTTTATGAAGCCAGCAGCGCTGGAGCTTCCAAAAAAGCCTTGATTCAGCCGTCCTTCTTCCACAGCGCCCATCATTGCATTGACGCCATCCCCGCCCAAATCCACCGTATTCACTTGGTTCTGGCATTGTGCTTTCTGTACGACAACAGTGGCCGGTTTTGGATAACTTGTGGCTGAGGAGAAGGATGGCAGAGCCGTATGCTACAGTTCTGTCAGCCAAAGATTATTTCCAACTACCCCCAGTAGGGGTTGGGATATCTTACCGGCGGAAATTCTGACAATGAAGCTCTTTTGCTCACAAGAGAGCTCTCAAGCTGTTTAATTCGGTCCTCGAGAGTCAAAATGTAGCTGGGAACGGAAATCAATGGTAAGGCAGGCTGCTGTTTGATATCCTTTACTCACGTCTGCGTTGCTCGCTTCTTCTCCAACTCGCCAGTATAAGCGCATCGGTTGTCATGATCCGGCTTTCTGCCGCAAGGTCCACAAACTGTTACGAATCAGCACGGGTTACCTTCCGAGTGTCCGGTCTCTGCACACACTGGGTTGTGCCCCATCGCAGCGTACTTTCCTCGCACGACAGTCATCACATGCGACAGAAACTTTTTGGCGCTTGGCTTTATCCTTTCCGCTGCGAGCCTGAGCTTTCATGTTGATAGGCGATTTCGGATTCTGCAAGAACGGCTCGTTCAACATGGAGTCAGAGAGGGCTCGGCTGAAGTTCCGAGAGCCGGATGTGGATGAGTTTGCACTGTTTATCAGTTTGCGGATGGATCCCGCAACCGTCATTAAAACAAAGTAAATGCGCGCTTGTGAATCGTGACCGGGTCTAAAATGCTTGTAAACGGATCTGGCAGGCTCTGCAGGCTCTGCAGGCTCGCTTGCAAAGTTCCATCTTGCTTTGACCAGGGACTTCCACACTTGGGCATTCATTATGCTTGGCTAGGTGGTTCGCTACCTCGAAATCACGAATACGACCTGGAATATCTTTTGACCATCTTCTGAAGCTAACCAAGATTTTCGGAGCAGCGATACATCATGTACGCATTCAAGCCAGAAGCGTCCGTTGAAGCCGGCCCATCTACTCCCAGAGTCATTACGCTGGTTCATACTGCAGTGCACTCTGTCCAGGAAAAGAATCCGATTGTATCATGGAGAAGGTCCTTCATCAGTGAATGTTCGGGATAATTGCTTGATAGACATTAACGCGCGTGTGGCTTTGAAAGCCTCATATCTGCCTCCATTTTCGGCCAAGCCTTCTCAACAGCGTCCAAGAGGCACTACTACTACAGTATTTCCACTACCACCCTTCACAGCGTTTCATAAGTGCTGCAACTGCTTATTGATAACAAGATGTGTTCTCATTCGCGAATCACACATATTCCAACAGATTGGCAGTACAGTAAAGACTGTGATATCACTGATTGGCTGATCAGGCCACGTATCGGGATACTGTAGCTATGATAGGTCAGGTGACATTCTCTGATAAAATTGACCATCTTCCTCCGAGGACGCCCTTTGTCATAGCCCCTGCTGTTTGCCATTCATTACCCTCTGGAAATGTAGTCTCCAGTGCTACCTCGCTAATGCAAGACTTTCCATGTTCCTGGTCTCATCTCTATCTTCGGATGGTGATGTTAATTCTAAGTTCCCTCGCCAATCAAGCGAAGGAAACCTCGAGTTATCAGTCGGAGCGCTTTGGCATGCGATAGCCCAAGTCCCTGAATGGAGTGTGATAAGAATTTAGTTTTTGGTCTTCGAGCGGACTGTCATTTGGTTCTAACCCCACCTCACCCACTCGAAGAAAGCCCTCCCAAAATGTTCGGACCTGAGTGGCGGCTGGGCTGCTCAGCTGATATCAGCCGTTGCGGGGTCAATGTCACATCGAACGCCACTGTGTTCGTGTGACCGTTGGTCAGGCAGGCTAAAAATTGGCCAAGTGCATGAAGTGCGTGCCTTGGCCGGGGTTTGGGACTCAGGAAGTGCGCTCGGGAGGGGGTCAATTTGGGAAGGTGCAAGCCCCAGTATTAGGTTCTCACATCTAGGCCCGATCTAGCTTAGTCAATAATAGTACAGCCGAGAGAACGCCGCGTGAAAGCGCCCATTAATACGCTACTTTGAACGACAGGGCCAATCAACCGAATATGGCTGACGTGTCGCGCTTGGCAACTGTAGCCACCTAACAAGAGAGCTTGGTGTTTCTTATCTGGGCCATTACGGCCTTGGCCAAACGAATTTGATAAAGGCCGCCAAGTGCCTCGCACGGACAGAAGACTCTTCAATTTGTCTCGAGACCCGCGTCAAATCGCATTATCAATCTTGTAGTCGGAGATTGGTCAAGAATTGAACTTGGCGGTTTAATTGGCTGGCAAACGTCAAATCCAAGTTCGAACTAGTTATACCGTGTCTTGGAGTTGTTCGGAAGAGAGACTAATGCACGCTAGACACGACGTAAACCGAGCTAGCGCACAGCAGTGATAAGGTTACGCGAAGCGATTGAACCAGCTCAGGTTCTTCTTGAGCGTGACTTACAAGCACCCGGCGGATTAACCTCAAAAAGTCGCACAGTAATTGATCGTGAGCTTTGATGAGATCGACCGGAATAATTCTGGTATAGTTGCAAAGGTATCCAGTCAGCGCGGACAATGAAGATTTTCAAATGTTATTGAATTGACCCAAGATGAAGCCTTCAAGTCTAGATCAATTAGTATTCACGGAGTTTGCCGTTCGTTCCCCCTGGTCGCGCCTGGAGGGCCTTGCGGCGAATGTCTCCCCACGGGGGGGGGGAGAAGGCAAAAGTGGACCCCGATAAGCTGGTATTCTATGTATTGAGTGGTAGTTAGCGGTGGCTGCAGGAGGAATCCGTGCTTTCGCCGCCGGGCCTCCAGACGGAGCTCCGGTTTTGGATAAGACCAATGCAACTCGAACCGATAATACCACCCGCACCCATGCCATCTTTTGGTTCTTATATTCATCGATGGCGCAACTTTGTAATTCCATGATCTGGTTTTGATTCATCGTGTCCAGTCTGCATTTTGAATATGTCGGGCAAATCCACTGGGATCTCGGTGGCTGAGATGCCGCCTGCAACCATCAAGGATCTGCAGGAGCTGAAAGTGGAACATGAGTTTGACCTTAATCTCCCTAGTGAGATCGAGAAGGACTTGGACGAAGCTCTCGCGACTGGAGATGCTGAAATAAAAGGTCATGTTGTCGGGGATCTGATGGAAGACTCTCCCTATCCCGAGGTTCGTGCTGCAGTCCTAAACTATGACGAAGGAGGCACTGGCAACACTATCCGCGCCTGGACCTTGGGTCTGATTTTTGCAACTATCGGTTCTGGTCTCAATGCTCTCTTTTCTCTCCACAGTCCCACGATCTCTATCACTTCCTATATTGCTGAGGTCGTTGCATTTCCTTTCGGCATTGCCTGGGCTCGCTTCCTTCCCAACTTCACCTTCACCCTGTTCGGCAACAAGCTTGAGTTGAACCCCGGGCCGTTCACAAAGAAGGAACATGCCCTCATCACTATCATGGCCAACGCAACCTTCGCGGGTGGGTTTGCGTATACGCTCGATATCATCACCGCGCAGCGCGGTTTTTACGGACAACGCTACGGATGGCCCTTCGAGATATTCACAACGATCTCGACTCAGACCTTGGGATTCGGGTTAGGTGGAGTGCTGCATCGTTTCCTGGTAGAGCCTGCTGCCATGATCTGGCCTTCTAACCTAGTCAACACCACCCTGTTCACAGCGATGCACGAACGTGGGCTAAACCCACCAGACCCTGCCAAGACCGCTGGCTGGACCGTCAACCGATATCGCTTATTCATGTATATCATGATCGGCGCTTTCTGCTGGTATTGGTTCCCGGGTCTGATCGCCCCCTTCCTTAGTGTTTTTGCCTTTGTCACTTGGATCAAGCCAAACAACGTTATAATCAATCAACTATTCGGCGGTGCTACTGGTATCTCGCTGATCCCTATCTCTTTCGACTGGTCGATCATTTCGGGCTACGTCACCAGTCCCATGATCTCCCCCTGGTTCGCTATTGCCAACACTCTCATTGGTATGGTTGCCTGGTTCTGGATCCTGACCCCGGCACTACACTATACCAACGTCTACTACGGAAAATTCTTACCGATGTCCGACTCAAATAGCTATGATAACACTGGTGGGGTTTACAACGTTACTCGTATCTTGACATCCGAATACACCTTCGACCTGGCAAAGTATGAGAGCTATTCCCCGCTTTTCTTGTCCACCACTTTCGCACTATGCTACGGTCTCTCTTTTGCTGGTCTAGCCGCTGTCATTGTCCACGTAAGCTTATTTCACGGGAAGGAGATATGGCACCGCATGCGGGCGGCTGGACAAAAGCACGAGGATATTCACTCTCGCCTAATGGCTAAGTATGACTCGGTACCTGTGTGGTGGTATGTGATCGTTCTTGTTATCATGGCAGCTATAGGATTGGCAGTTGTCCTTTCCTATCCCACTCATATGTCTTGGTGGGCATTCTTCGTCTCTCTCATCATTGCCTTGGTTTGGACCCTGCCTATCGGCATGATCCAGGCCACCACCAACATCCAGCTCGGCCTGAACGTCATTACTGAGTTTATTGTCGGCTACATCCAGCCTGGCAAGCCGATGGCAATGATGCTTTTCAAAACATACGGTTACATCTCTATGTCTCAGGCGTTATACTTTTGCCAAGATATGAAGCTTGGTAAGAAGCATACCAGTCTCACAAGCTTGGGCTTATTTAGAAAGCTGCTTTCATGATTCTGACAAGCTTATAGGTCACTACATGAAGCTTCCCCCACGTGTGACCTTCTGGGCACAGATGGCTTCGTGCATCTGGTCTTCAGCTGTCCAAGTGGCAGTGGTGAACTGGGCGTTTGGTAGCATCACCGACATTTGCTCTCCGACCCAGTCAAACAAATACACCTGCCCGAACGGACGCGTATTTTTCAACGCCTCAGTTATCTGGGGTGTCATCGGCCCTAAGCGCATGTTCTCGGTCGGCCAGATGTACGCAACCCTTCAGTGGTTCTGGCTTGCTGGTATCGCCCTGCCTGTTCTAATCTGGCTCGCCGCTCGCAAATGGCCGCAAAGCCGGGCTAAGTTCTTGAACGCTCCCGTCATTTTCAGCGGCACTGGCATGATTCCCCCTGCTACCCCACTCACCTACCTTGTCTGGGGCACGGTCGGTTTCGTATTCAACAAGTATATCCGCAACCGCTGGCGCGGCTGGTGGATGGAGTACAATTATGTTGTATCCGCTGGGCTAGATGTTGGCACTGCTTTGTGTCTGATTGTTATGCTCTTCGCTATCAGTCTGAGCAAGTCCTCTTTCCCGAGCTGGTGGGGTAATGATCAGGCCCTTGCGACCATGGATTACACCGATACTGCCATTCAGGTTGTCTTGCCTGAGGGTCAGACCTTTGGCCCGAAGATGTGGTGATAAGAATGTTGTTCTCACTATTCGATTTTACCGAGTTTCCTACACATAATAGCTCAAAATTGACATGGTTATTTGAATCCTTTTGACAAAGACACGATAAACACGCTTCCTCGCGTCTGGGAATTTGCGTGGAAACATTCCTTCTTCAGCCCAAAATTGAGATCTTCTACTGGGTCGAGATGTATTCTACTCGTGTCTAGTGCGCGGGTACGATTCCAAATTTCGAGCGTCTCCATAGCTATGAGAGGGTTGCGGTTTGTCCTACCTAATCACCATGAATCCTCTTATCCTCGATGATTGAAACGACGTTATATCACTGCGACGTCAGCAGAAAGCACGTTTCGCCTAATTTCTTACTGAGTTTCCTATGCAACCGAGCTCACATAGGCTTCGTAGTTCAATATCATCAGATTTTTACTAATGATATGTTGATCAAATCACTCCGGTGCCCCAAGTTGGTCTCCGAATACTTGTTTCATGAGATAGGGCGCACCATACATCATCCCCAGCATCGATTCACTTTCTTGGGGATGGCGCAGTTTTCGATATTCACAAAAGATCGGTTGCATAAATTTTGCTTAAGGCATGCTTGATCTACGACCCGTGATAAGCGCTATGGTCCTGACCAAGGGGCTGTATCTCGAATCAGGGTCTCCAATAATTTTTGATATCTAGGCTTCGTTTATCAAGGTCTGCAGAACTTCGTAGAGCCACAACCTACAATATAGTACTATTTACAGGATTCCTCAATTATTACCGTCAGGTAGTCGTAGTACTGTGATCAAAATCGAAATTATCCTTATTCGAGCCGGACCAATTGGTTCAGACCTTTGTCCCGAATATTGTGCAAAGCTCCTTGAGAAGCAATCCTTTTTTTAGAGGTGAATATCGAGGTCTTGCAATAAAAAATGAAAACCAGCTTTAGAACATGAAGAAGCGCGGTTCAGTGCCAACTTAGGAAGCAACCACCTGCGGTCCATTGCCGCTAACGCTTTCCAGGTGCTGCGTGTCTGACGTTTTTCCCGTCTCCCGAAGTTTCTCTTCCACAACCGTCTTATGGGGGTAAAAATCAATTTTACCGTCCTTCTGAATGACTCCCATTCGATCGAGGCAGAGACGTGCGCGCGCGTATGGGTCTAACCTCCAGTGGTTGACCCGCAGTCTTTCAGCGAGGTAAGCCCTCTGACTCTCAGCTGACTGAACTTTGCTTTTGTCTTTCGACTTTGCAGCGACATTCCATTCTGAAGTTGCTGCAAGAAAGTCCTCGCCAATCTGCTGTCGCTCGCGTACGAGTGCGTCCCGAGTAGTGGTGTCTTCCATGATGGCATTTTCATTCTCTTCCGGCTCAATGTACTCGTATTTCCACTTCTCCGCACCGCCCACCTCTTCCAAAAGCTGATCACGAGCGATGAATTTTTCAAGGTCAGCCGCGGAGTTTGTAAATTGAACCTTTGCTGCAATGTCGGGATCCATCCATCCTCGGATTAGTCTCCAAACGCCTGCCAGGGAAGAAATATCAGTTTCAACGATCAAGATCAAGCTAGAGATTGCCGATATTTATCTTTTGAAAACCAAGAAAATATAGTAGAAAGAAAAACAGTGCACGAACCGGAGAAAACCCAAGGGGCATTGTGAATCAACATGATACCCAGTGACTCTGGGTAGTTTGCTTCAAAACACTTCAAGATAAATTTCACGGGAGGATATTCCTGCTAGTAATTAACAAAATAGCTCATTAATTTAAACAGAGCCGCTTGAAGACATGATTTCTTCGTCACATACCATGTTGGAAAGAGAGAACCCGGTCATGTCGAATAGAACAGCCTAAAGACAACATAAGCACACGAACATCCAATAAGAGAAACGACACGCACGGCAGTCTCGACAGGCGGAGATAAGGTGAGCCTCACGGACTCAATGACGTGAACGATGTATCTCTCCAAGGCTTCCTCGCTTTGGGCCCCGGGCTTATGAAGACGGACTCGGATGACGACGATAGGCCGGCCCATCTTGTCTGTACCATGCACGTAGCTCTTGCCCATGCGCATCTGAGCTAGGAAGTCTTTCCCGACCTTCTTCTCAGCCGTGTTCGAGCTTCGCTCCTGCTTCAACGCATGCAGCTCTCCCTTCGCCATAATCTCGTCGTCCACGTGCATCTCCTTGACCCTCCAGACAATGGCATCCATCATCATAGCAAACGCTCTAGGAACATCCCATTTACGGGCCCGAAGAAAGCGTAGGAGCATAGCATCTGGATGATCATGCTTGAGGGTGTCTAGGACGCCGTTGCGTAATTCATAGGGGGTGATCTCTGACAAGGCTTTTTCGACCTGTTTCGTCTCCTGAGCCTTGATTCCCAATTCTCTTATATATGACATGAGCCTCTGTTGATACGCAGAAGTTGCTTTCGGGGCGGTCTTGTCGGAAATGTTACTTTGGGTGCGACCGAGTAGAGATGAGCGCCGCTGAGGCTGGGTGGGACTAGCGTGCTCCTCTACATTTCCATTTGAAAACTCATCGCCGGAAGGCACTTCGGCCGCTTTCAGAAGGATGCTCCACAGCTTCCGCAGTTTGCTTTCCTGTTCCTGGCTGATGTTTCCAAGGAATCCCAGCTTGGGTCCATCTGTGGCCATTTTGTGCTGGAAATTCTTAATTGGTCAGGTATGAAGGATAGACTAAGAAAAACAGAATTGAGATTGGTGTTGCGTGGCAAACGAGACCTTTAGGACAGCCGGAATCCTTGAAGGGTCTATCGACCGCATCATATATGTAAATGCACCCACCCCCAATTGATCGTCGAGAATCCACATGAAACCCCCCCCATCGCCACCCCCAGACTTTGCCTCGGTCCCCAGATGGTTGGAAAGCCAGGTCCATGCACTCGCCCTAGTGAATTCGCAATAGCGATCATGGACAATGATCGACGGGCTGGCCGACCAGTTCCCCAGATTCCACCAGCATCGACGTCTCACAAGCGCCTCGGGTCCTCGGTCGCAGGCTTCCCAAAGCGATTAGAGACACATGTGGTGGATGTTCCGAACTTGGGCAGAATGGACCTCTTCACTTGCAGGGGCCCATCCACACAGAGGCTCAAGAGATGCATCGACACCCGCCATCTTAAGGTGATCAGACTCCGATTTGCAGTGCAGGGGCCCCCCGCGCGTGCTAGTTACAGTAAACCCCTCCCAGCGCTCTGCGACCACATAGCACAATCGGACATGAGATTTAGGTGAGCACGAAATCCTTTGGTTTCCAATTCTTTCGTAGGTATCATTTTGGTGCCTTGATAAGGATATACACGGAACCCCCCCAATCCGAAACTGCTGGGACCATAGGTAATTTGGTTGTTCGGTCAGGGGAAGGGCACCATTCATCACTTGTGGGCAGTACTGCAGGACTACCGTCGATCTACCCTACCGGTGACGGAGTTTGGTCGTCGTCATCCGAGTCCGTCTTCATAAGCTCCAAGTTTCCGTCAGGAAGAATGGGGCAGAGCTCCGCCGGCTCTATGGCGTCATGAACTTGCCGGGGTCTTTTTTCCCCTTTGGTATTACGCCGGTCGCATGCCTCCAGTGGGTCCGTATCAAGATCCCAATTTCCCACAACTCTTCATGCTAAGAATCACCGAGCCGAGAATAGCGCCTCTCAATGACTAGACTATGATCTTGGCCATTATAGAAGCATCAAGCGGGGAATACACCGTTGGATTGAATTACGCATGCTCCTCGGTAGTCATAGGTTGAGAAAAACGTAGGAAACATCGAGACCGGCCCCCGGACCACTTTCCGTGAGATACCTCGGGCCCAATCGACCTTGCTGACTGCATTCTTTCCATCCTTGTACATCGCTAAGAATTCCAATTCTACCGCAAGAAGCTTTCCTGTCATGAGATATATGAAGCCCAGTAAGGAAATTGAACAATAGCCGCAAACCTGCATTCACTGATGTTGTCGACTATAGACGACTTTGCTTTCCAGAGTTTCAGCGATGTGGCAGCCCAGGGCTTTAAAGCTTCCATTTCTTTTATTTGAGTATTGAAATGAAGTCCATATAAAAAGGAATCAAATCTTGGCCCGAAAGTTGCCTGGATAAGATTACCCGCAATTGTTACCGACCAAGACGAAGAAGAATTCGTGTATCATTAACAGAAGCAACTAAACGGGAGAAGAAGAAGAGAGAAAGAGGGAAACGAGCATCTACGAAACAAACCCACTTCTATCCCGAATCGGGTTAGACCCACGGCTCCTTCCAGATCACGTTCCCCCTCAGGCCTCTCTCAGGCCACAAGACATTCATGCGTCACAGCAATCCCTCTTCGATTTGATCTTATGCAAATGATGGTTGAACACGATAATTGAAAAAGCTGACACCAGACTTGGGTGACCGCTTTCTAGTTTAGCTTCTAAGTCTAGTGGTGTCCATTCAATACCTTTGCACACACCTTACTTCTAGTCTTACCTTTTTCCACGCCATTTGCCTACTTCTTTCTAGTAGAGGTTAGTTTATCTCCCTCACAAAAGAAAATAGACATCTCTTAGATACCTTTTCATCGTGTGCGGACCACTTAAATGGTAAATTATTTACACTCAGCGTGTTTTAGGAAAGTAAAGGTTTGGCCCAAATTCTACACGGTATGTGGATAGGTAACCAAGAAATTGCTGCTGCATAAGCGGGATGTCTTGCAGATGTAACCAGAAGATCATTCGTGGCATCAGTTTGAACGGTAAAATTGAACAAGGCATAGTGCTTTCTCGCACCTGATCCGAGATCTGATCAGACATAGTTTGATTACGACAAGTTCCCACATCGAGGTAGATACCACCATAGCGATACAGAATAGAAACACGGATCGAGTCGGCCCTCTGGATAGGGAAAGCGAGGTGACCACAAGTATCCACGAACCCTAGGTGATGATTGACGAGGAAGTTACGAGTCGATGCATCAGACAGAGCTAGAAATCGGTCAGTGACGTAGCAAACACAAGGAATTAGATTGATTTCTCATTATCATTCCTAGAAAAATGTATTTTATATCCCAAGCCCTTTAAGCTCGCTTGCAGCAGCTTTGTGACTACACCCAAGAACCTGGTATCATCTCTGTCGCAGTGGCTTGATGCAGAATGAAAGGGACTTAAATTGACTGCGTAGTTTTGTTCCGATCGTATAAGACAGGAGAGCTAAGTAGAGCCACTCGCGGGCCAAAAGTTCTTCGTTTCTATGAAGCAGAATGATCCGAGGCTCAAGAGTATAGAGCAGTAGCCCAAGGATCACCAGGTCAACCAAGAGAGGCAAGAATGTGATACTGATCGACCCTACGACCCTTTCATTTGATCAGCGCGATCTTAGCCGGGTCACGACTCTGCTCTGAGACGCTCTTCATCGTGGATCTATTCGTCTTTAAGTGAAACGCTCGCGAGGTAAAGCGGTGAGAATTTACACAGAACTTTGTTCTGCAACATATATATAAATACTCAAGAGTCCTGTGATGCTATGAAGAATTTGAAGAAAATGAAATTCAGTTGGTGATCGTGAAATGACGAGCGTGTAGATAGTTGACAAATGACCAAAATTAGCGAAAGTGGACTTATTCTGTGAGAGAGAAAAGCAAGAACACTTTCGCTCAGTTCAAATATTGAATTTCAGTCTTAAGTCAAAATCAAGGCGGGCGTGGTATAGTCTAGTCTGGTGCGTCATAGTATACGGAGTAAATCTGAGAGACGATGAAAAGGCCACGATTGTGCGTGGCTTTTGGAGGGAGAATCGTGGTATTTTCACCCGGTGCCTCCTGACTCTGTGGTGGTAGCCAAATTAGGCCTAGCGTAACTTCCCTTAGTACATGTACCTACACAAGGACAGTCCCAGCGCGTAAATCGTACGGCAAAGGTATAAATGAGCCTTGAGTCATCTTTTAAAAAAAAATCCTCAAGCCCTTATTTTCTTAGGGAGCGAAATATTGCTATACTTGACGAAAATTTGATCTTCCACAATGCCAAAGAAAACTAGATTTAAGCGCACTGAAACCAACTGGAACTTATTCGTTCAGCAGCCAGACACGCAAGTCAACAGCGATTATACCGATTCAATAAAGCGCTATCTGAAACACATAGATGTCAATTTCCGAAGGTTCGATCTACTTCTCTCACTTGGTTCTTTCCAGGTCACTAACAAATAATGCCAGGTTTACGCAAGAACTGGACCCGCCTGATGCTCAACACTGGCTCAAGAATATCACCTGCAGGGTAATTTAAGGATTTCTTCGATGGTATCTCGACAACCACAACGTGGAATATCGGTCCAGTTCCTTGTTTTTGAGAAGCTTTTCAGAATGTATTGGGGTGAAGAAATGCGACGTGAATTTTCGTACGATCTTCGTCGAAATATGATCATGGTATGTACCATCTTAACTCCAATTCAACGACGAATACTTACTATTGAAGCTTGTACGCACCACACTTACCGACGAGTACGGGCTTGAGCAAGGGGGCAAAACACAGCCATCAGTCAACATTGACGATCCCTTATACTCGACCTATCACCGTCCTTGCTGTGTGTGATATTGCATTTCCTACTTTTCGCTGCCAAGCCCACATAAGCACGTTACGGAAAATCATGACTTCCATATCGGCACGACCTGGAACATTGGTTGAATCTTCCGGCTATATGGGGGTAAAGGATGCCTTGAAATGGAAAGATATTGAATTATATATAGTGAGACATCCCGAAGATCCTACGTGCCAGGTTCTCCTTATGAGAGTCACACAGAGACTTAACAAAGGCAAGAGGAACAAAGACGTACCGTAAGAAGCACCAACACAAATGAGATATGTACTATCCTAATAGAACAGACCTTTTTTCACCTACACAGAACGGAACGATAACCTGGGTCTTTGTGTTATTCAGGATATTCTCGAGTATGTCTTTCTCGCAAATGCGTTTGCCAGTGAGCATATTAAATGTCCCCGGGACATTTGGAACCTCACAAAGATTCCGGAACACCGGCTTAGTACCCCTATTCACTTCAAAGAGGCTATCAAAAAAATTCCAATATTCAGAAGAGCTATGAAGAATAAAGAAGTTGTCTGGATCACAGATCCACGACGCGCACTGACTTACGGCGCAGCGCTAGAATATGAGAAATCTACAAGAGCTTAGCTGGGTCCAAAGAAAAAGGGACCCCATACAAATATCGGAAAGGGGCTGCTAGCGATTTAAGTCCGGACAGATTGAGCTCAATTTTAATCTGACTATTATGCACTAATGCGCCACTCTAGGGCATCTGGACGAACAATCAAGGAATGTCATTATGGGCCACCAACGGAGCGGCACATTCGCCCACTATGTCTCTGTTATAAATGATAATCAATCAGCCTTTATGGAGACACCCGCCAGAGATGCTTTGCTTAAGCTTGCTTGCAACTCAAGCCTCACACGGGATGCATCCGCCCCTCAGGATCTCACAGACCCACAAAAGAGGTCTCTTGAAAACGACCAGGAGCTCGATCAATTGAAGCGAGAATGTCAAGGACTTCGGAACGACCTGATTGCAGAATTTCGTCAACTGAATAAAGCAAGATGTGCTCACGCCGGGCGATATAATGTATATGCATCCTTCAAAGGAAATTCAAGGCCCGAAGGAAGAAAATTCACGACAAGGCGAAAGAAAATGCCCGCAACCAAGTTTTTGAGAATATTGGGAACAATATCATCGATCAGAAATATCAGGGCAACCCTGTGAAATTCGAACCGGACACGCCGCATATACAGCCGGAAAGAAGGGAGCTCGCGGAACTTGAATTCAAGAACAGAGATGTTGACACCATTGATGATGCAGAGTAGATTGAAGACCGTATCCGGTCACTAGAGCTACGACTACGACTTCACGGACTCCATGTGCCGAAGGCCTTGCAAAAGCGAGTAAAGTTTGAGTCCATGCCCGCTATCAAGTCTGAACCGCAATCATTCCCAATGAAGAGCGCCACTGGCCTTGAATGTCCAGTGTGCTTAGGGGTCACCGACATACACCCCGCAGCAAAGCAATTTGAATATTCTCGGAAGGACGCGCTGCAAAAGCATTTCAGGACCCATAAGCTTCCACAAATATTTCTAAAGGGTCGTCAGTGCGATATCCCTGGCTGTTCAAAAGTGCTGTTAAGGCTTCCGGAGTACATGCTGCACCAAGCGAAGTGCCACAAAATCATCCTTTGGAGCGGATCGGTGCAATCTCGTTGTTTTTCTATCATCGTTGAAATGAGGCTGAATGTGAAAGCCGCCGGGGCATGATCAAAGACCTATTGTGCATCGAGTATTTGATGAATGTGATTTCTCTTCGTCTTACAAACATGGGTTACTTTCACGAATACCGGCGCGACAAAATGAGGCTGTGCATTTTTCAGAACTTCAGGCTATAGAGCCTTAAAGTGTAGGATTTTTAGCCCATATAGTCTAGAAGTGACACATGCTGCAAAGTCGGTCAACATATTAATGGGGAGTCCCAGAGCCGGACGGTTTTATGACAATAGCCGACCGCTAGTAGCTAGTTATTAGGCAAGAACGCTACGAGTGTACATCCGTTAGAGGCGATTGTGAATTATCCTTAAGAGTCAGTTGTAGTATGCCTGTCGCGGTATCCCAGAGCCGGACTGTTTCATCCGAAGAGCTTGACGCCAATAGCCTGCCGTCAGGCGAGAATGCCACCGACTGAACGGAACCTGAATAGCCCACGAGTGTCAATCGCAGTGCGCCTGTTGGGCTTTCCCAGAACCAGACTGTCTGATCAAGAGAGCTGGTCGCTAATAGCTGCCCGTTGGGTGAGAATGCTAGCAACTGAACCCAATCTGAATGGCCCTGGAGAGTCTGTTGTAGTGCGCCTGTCGCGCTGTCCTAGAGCCGGACGTTATTCTATTTCGACATGACACCGAGGACACACCGGTTAGCAAGGCTCTGATGTTGTTGTTACAGATTGGTTGCAGTAGTTTACGTAGAGAATAAACTAATGTGTACTCCGTACTGGTTACTTTTATAGGGTTCACGATAGCACAGTGTGCAATATGCGACATAGATCACTTTCGAACGGAAAAGTGCTTGGCACTGAGGTTTAATCGCCTTGAAATCACAGTTACGCATAATGATTATGCTACTCCGCACCGCCTCCGCTTTGTCTTTTCAAGCTTTCCAAACCCTTTCACCTCCAATTGAGGGCGGTCCCTTATACAAGACATGGTAGAAGTCGACACCACAATGGATTTATCTCCACCTTCATTATATCGTCCCCAGCGGGATAATTTCTATACCAGTCATGATTCCATCAACGGATTCGAATCTGGAGGCCACTATCCTATGGCGAAGAACTGGTGCAATCGGTTCAACAGGGGTTTTGCTATTAAAACCATTTAAATTTAGCACTGCATACAGATAAGTAGTACTGACCAGAACCATACTCACCTGGGAAAGGCTTACTATCTGCCTGTTGATATCAGAAACAACAGCCAAATTGTCTGGGGAGCCACTGGAATAATATCTCTGCCTAACAGCAACCCGTCGTGCTTGAAGTGCACTCATGGCCGCAGTATACGCATCACAGCTGAGGTCTTGTCGCATACTTATCCCATTCAGAGAATTAACATGAATTGGGGTAGCTGTAGTGGCAGTAGCAAATAGAAAAGTAAGAATAAATGGGAGGAAATGCATCTTAGCAGTCATGGGAGTGGGAGTAGACCTGGCACTCACCCGCGGGTGACCCTTAAGACCCTCCACCCGCACCTCCTCTTGGCGGGTGGAGGGTCTAACATCTCGACCCTGAGGGTCGGATATAGAGGTGCCCGACCCTCCGAGGGTCACCCTCAGGGTCCCCACGTGACTGATTTTAGCAAAAAATTTACGTTTTAGGCAGAAAATCATATTTTAGGCATTAATCCACTTAGTTATCTATCCTAAAATAGTAAGGCGTGTCCTAAATAGGCAAAGTGTGTCTTATGCGGGTCGGTTAGAGCCCTCCGCGGGTGACCCTTAAGGGACCCTTAGAGGGTCAGGGTCAGGGTCAGGGTCAGGGTCAGGGTCGGTGAGGTTGGACCCTGACCCTCGGAGGTGCGGGTGGGGGTTCTTGACTTTGGACCCGCGGGGCGGGTGAGTGCCAGGTCTAAGTGGGAGTTTCTATGGATAGTCGAAATAACTATTTGTGAAAGTAACAAAGCTGTCATGCTCAGAATAATAGGAATGTAGGTTTTATACTTTATCTTCTTCCTTTAGCCCCATTTTCCTCCCTGCAACCCTGCAACTCAACGCCTAATAGAAACTAAGGTTATAGGAGGAGGCCTTTATTATTACAAGTTAATACCTAGTAATATAGACTATTACTATATACAATATGAATAATATAAAGATAAAGACCTACCTAAATGGCTTAGGTTCGAGTTATGCAGGTTCGGGTTGGGTTATCTACCTTAACCTAAACCCACGTGCGGGTCAAAGAACCTGACCCGAACCCAAGCCATTTACGGGTTCGGGTTGTGTTAGGTTCGGATTCGCGCGGGTTTTGGCGCAGCCTAATAATAGGCTATATCTAAAGACCTAGTATAGAGAAATAACGCGAGGGAATCTTTAAAGGTATTATCTTAACTAGTGGAATTTATATTTTATAGTAGGTATACCTCTTCTCTTCGTATATTTACCACTCCGTTTAACTAATAGCCTTTTTAAGCACACTATTTAAGCACGCTATTTAATCGCACCGTTTAACCACTACTCTCGTTAGTTATCACTCTCGTAAGACTGCACTGTTATGACATAAGGCTAGCATAGTTTCGGAACGGAGCCGCACCGTCGGAAATAATTCCCCGGGTGTCTATACGAAGAACTAAGTTGTTTGGAAGTCAACTTGATCTGCTCGTTGTATATAAAGCCTCACGTATTCCTACTGAAATGGATAAGAGTAACCAAAATTCCTCTGAGTTACAACAATTTTCCCTCGATCCGGGTCATCATCAGGTGGTATGAACCGCCAGGAAATGAAAATCTAGTCATTCCGTCCCTTTCAAAGGATATACCGGAAACTCCCAATCTGACGATCTGTCTTGTTCGACAACTCATCGGATAGTTCTTCCCGGGCAGTCATCTCTTCAGGTCGTCCGTATCGCCTGTCCCTCCGTCTGTTCTCCCAGTTGTAGTAAACTAATAGGCAGAAGAGAAAAGAGGCGCCTAATGCGAAGCCAGCTATAGATGCTTGAATCCCAGTCTTTTCAACACGTCAGATATAGGCCTGTAGAGAGGGCATACACACTTACTGGATACGACGGTGCCTCCGATGCCAGAAAGAATTGCGGCCCCACAATATTCCCCGCGCAGTAAGCCACAAAAAGTGAGGCGCTAACCACACTTTTCTTCGAAAAGCCTGCCACATTGGACGAGATAACACTCAGGGTAATTGGCATATTGACTGCGTAGACAACACTCAAAGTCAAGCCCACCTCACGGCCCGCCGCATTATCAGGATGTAGTTTCCAGACAAGAAGCATGCCGAGCATGGAGACGAGTAAATTAAAAATCATGCAGAGGATGCGGCTGGATGGGATAAATGTAGTAATAGCGGCAGAGAGTAGGATAAAGACAATCTCAGCGCCCCCCAGAGGCATTTGGAGTAGAAGTGCTTTGAAATTGCTAAAGCCAAACCCTGTGGTGATAATCGGCGCAAACTAAAAGCAGTTAGCGTCAATCAAGTCAATTCAGAGCAGGTAGAACGAACAGTTGTTAGGCCGCCGTTGGCCAAGTTGGATGTAAAGGTATAGAGAACGAGAAACCATGTCTGCGGGTCGAGAGTGGCCTCTAGGGCTTGATTCCACTTGAAGGACCCAAAGTCTAGCACACCGGTTTTATTCTCGAGCGTTCGTTGCACGGCGATTGCGCGCTCCTTTTGGTTAAGGAAGACGGCTTTCGCCGGGGAGTCTGGCAGGAGTAGAAAAAGAGCCCCAGCATATGCAGATGTAACGGCACCAAGGATAAGAAATAGCAGCTTCCAGTGGGAAATGCTTGTCGCGCTAATATGTCCAATGCCGTAGGAGATCACGCCACCCAGGAGCGCCGCGATACAGTTTCCAAAGTACCAGGCAGATTGACTAAAAGTGATGAGAGCGCGAAACAGCAAGAGAATCTCCAGACCACTTACCGGAGAGGTTGCTCCTTCCGCTTATAGAACAGACCAGTGATCAAACTAAAACCTGGCGCAATAGCTGCTTCTCCGACACCAAGGAAAAAACGAGCCACCATTAGGCCAGCAAAATTTCTGCAGGCGGCATGGCACATGAGAACGCCACCCCAGAGAAAGACCGAAGCGGCCAAGTATTTGCCGATAGGGACTCGAACAATCAGGTACGAGCTTGGCCAGCTCCAGACGAGATATCCAAAATAAAAGATAGCCGAGGTCCACGCAAACTGTGGCCCGTGCAGATTCTACGTCGAGTCCGACGTTGTCTCAGCTTTATATACATTGAATTGACGGAAGGGAAGTGACATACCAGATCCTGGCGAAGATTAAATAGCGCCGCTTGGCCGAGGATAAATTTATCGAGGAATTGAAGGAAATAGGCGCATGCCATCAATGGAAGCAAACTTGATCGGTTAGAGTCCATCCATTATGTTTCAATGTTTTAGCATGCTGGCGGAGACTTACACAAAGTCGAGTTTCTGCAGAACCTTTCGCTCCTCCTCTGGCGTCGACTGGACCTCGAGTATTTCTCCTAAGTCGGCGTCATGGCTAAATTTTTTAACTTCATTCTTCAGGTCGTTTTCACTTTGCATATTAACCGCTTGCAACTCCATCGTCCAATGTCGTTTAAAAGAAAATAGTATTGAAAGGGAACACTTGACAACGATGAGTCGAAGGGGGAAAGATCATTCCACTCTATCCGTCCTTAACGGCAGTTTGTATAAAGAGACGGCGAGAAAGACCGTCGGCAAATAAAAACATTAACTCTGCAGCAGACCCGACAGGTCGGACATTTGTCGCTTTCTTGATAGAGTTCGGTCAAGGAATTTGACGACCCAACTGTATCCAAGACATACTACGGCCATCCCTCATCTCTATCCCCTAAAGTAGTGAAAAATATCAAAATTTAACGCCCCGATTTTTCATTGAACTTCTCATTGGTCAATATTACCTTTCAAAGGAAAATAGTCAAACACGGTGATATTCCGTAGTGGAGCCTTCCACCCAGTAATTCTCGTATGATCTGGGGAATAATTCTGGAGAAGCGGGGTTTTCATCCAGCTCCACGATCGGCAAACGGTAATTCTCGTATGGTGTGGGGAATAATCCTGGAGAAGCGGGGGCCCATCCAGCTCCACGATCGGCAAACAATGGCGGCAGATACTAACTGTGGGGAAAGCCAAGAACGCGCCACTATTGACTCGTTGAACCAGTTGACCATGCTCAGGATTACATGTGATGATCCAAGAAGTGCATAAATACTTTTGACTAGCTGCCATGGCCGCGCCACTGCCCCTTCAGAAAAGTCGTCGGCAGTCAAACTTACAGGCTCGGCTGTCAGTCCAATCACCAGTGAACGAAGCGTTGATCTAGGGGAGGGTGCGCATGAAGAACGACTGGCCAAACATTACTGCCTTTCCGCGTCACGTGAAATTCCCAACACCCAGGCACCCACTTCAAGCATACAGTGGCACCGCAAAAGTCTAGAGACTAGAGACCATCCTCCCTTGACCGCCTACTTTCTGCCACCTATATTCTGCCGTTCCAAAAAATCCAATATAATCACATTAAACTAATACTTAGTATTTTCAAAATCACACCCTCAAGTACTCAATTGGCCATGCCCGTACTAGTCCGTACTGGAATGGCCACGTTCCGATAATATCATCTGCGGCAGAGGGACGGTTGGTAGTTGTAACTGGCCCACGCCCGTGGGAAATCACGTGCACGCACGTGAATAGACCCACTCGGACCAGAATACGACCGCCTGGATGTGTAAATAACCTTTCTTCCTTAAGCTTAATGAAAATAGTATATTGCCTAGTCCAGTTGAATTAAGCTCGACTTTCGCCCTTTATATTTATTGAGCTTCCTCTTACGGACAAGAGTACCCCCTAACTAGAGCGTCAGAAGTAGACCTGGCACTCACCCTCAATTTGGACCCGCCAAGACGCCAAGGAGGGTCCAAATTTTGACCTTAGACCCTCTTAGGTAATATTTGAAGGCACAAATAGGCCTTAATAGGTAATTTTCTGCTTACAAATGGTGTTTTATACACGCTTATGCAAAAAGGGACCCTCAATGAGGGTCCCTTGGCGGGTGGAGGGTCCGGACTTTGGACCCTCCGGCCAGGTCTAGTCAGAAGACGACCGAGCATAATCGCCGTCGTAAAGGAATACCCCTAGTTTCGTATACTAGATGTAAGTAAGGACGAAGAACGCACCTATAAACGGATATTATGCGAAGCGCCTACGATCACCTCCAATTAGCGAAATACGGACACAATCGTACGAGTATAAATAAGGATAGATAGACTATAGTTAAATAGTCCCCTAAGCTAGTTCTAACGGTTCGCCTAGGAGTAAAGCTAATACGTAAATAACTAGAACGAAGCCCTATAGTTAGACCTAGCACTCACCCGCCCCGCGGGTCCAAGATCAGGAACCTCCACCCGCACCTCCGAGGGTTAGGGTCTATTGGAATATAGACCAATGCTACTGTGGGAGATCCAGTGGGAGATCTAATGGGAGATCAAGTCTTTTATCCTTCGATGAATAAAAGAATATTTCCTTAATAGGAAACCTCAGGGTATGATATGATGATTGAAGAAGAATTATATTTTTCTTGTAGGGAATTGCGGACATATTTGTATCCAATGAACAATATTCTAGGCCTATATTAGACTTGCATTGTTTTAAGTCTAGGCCTGTCTTGCTTTGAAATCAATTATAGTCTAGGCATCATTTTTAGTCTAGACCTATTGTCAAGGCATCATTAATAGTCTAGACCTATATCAAGGCATCATTAATAGTCTATCCATAGAACACCTTTTAATAGACCTATTATAATTAGGTGACTTTTCGTATTTACCTGACCAATTATAAAGATCATAGTCTTCTTGGATGACTAAAGGTAATGCTGACAGTCCTTGATAATGCTGACAAAGATAATGCTGACAGTCCTTAAATATGCTGACAGCTACATAGAAAGATCTATCCTTATATTCAACATATAAGACCAGATTGCATTGATCACGTGACCAGATTTTTCTTCTATCAAAATGATATTTTGACCACTTCTGATACTGGTCCGCGGCCCTCCCCCGAACGATAGGCGGGACCATTTTCCTTCAGAGGTAAATGGTCCGCCTTCAGGCATGAATGGTCCGTTCCTTCGGGGGTGCCTTCGGGCATGCCTTGCCCGCGGACTTCGACCATGGTCTTCGGACCTCGGTGAACAGACTTCGACCCTCGGTCCCCTCAAGGATAGGCGGACCACTTTCCCTTAGGGATAAAATGGTCCACCTTTGGGTATGCATAGCCTGATACTGCGGGGAAGCTTTCGGGGTGGCTTAAACCGGTCGATCCTTGACATCATTCTTTTGGCTTTTCTTCGGTTCCCTTCTTTGCCACCTTTATTATGTTGCTGCCTAGTGTTTGTAAGTCATTTGTATGATATTCTAGACGTTATTTCTGGGCTATCCTAGCCTATAAATATGTCCTTCTTTTCTAGCAGATAAGAATCAAGTCATTTTCCACTTTCCAAAAAGTCATCTCTACCTTCTTCCTTTGATCCTCAGGACTGTGGTTCTGCCTTCGTTTAGGCTATATCTGCTTATAGTCTATCCTATGACCTTTGACCTTCTTCCGTTGTCTGGCACTGACTGACCTAGCCGGACTAAGGTTGATCCCACGGACTAAAGGGGCCACGATCTGCTTCGTGGTAGCTTTACCCTTCTAGCCCGACATATATTATTTAAATTAGTCTTATAGATCTACTTAGAAAGATAAATATAACTCCTAAGACTAATATTATAGAACTAGAGTAAAAAGAGGATTATATATAAGCGCTACACGCTTAATAGTAAAAGCGAGAGATCGCCAATATACTAAATAAGATTAGTTTCTTAATTATTATTATATAATAATTAAATCTTTAAGCTTATTATCTATATATAAATTTCTAGGTTCGCTATCTTACTATTTATATTAATATAAGCCTATAATATTATAAAGCCTTTTATAATCTTTAGCCTAAAGAGCTAAAGCTTATACTTATTTAAGATATATATATATAATAGAACTTAATATATCTTATACTTTATTAGGCTAAGAGACTCTAAGCCACTTTTAATATCTTTTACTTATAATATAACTAGCCTTATTTTATATTTAGCGTAAAAGAGTAGCGATAAATCGACTATCTCCTATTTATCTTATAGCCCGTCTTTAAATATATAACGATCGTTTATATAACTAAAGACTTAAGTATTTACTTAGTCTTTAATTTCTATAATAAGATTTTAATTATCTTAAAAAGTCTATTTATTAACTCTAGTAAAAGAAGATTATATAGAAGTATCTTATACTTTCCTTACTTAAGGCTATATAAAAGAAGCTATCAAAATATTATAATATAATAAATAGTATGAAAGGTAATCTTTGTACTATTAGTACGATCTTAGCGCCTATAAATAAGCTATAGTTCTTTTTAATAAAGGACTAGGGATTAGATAATCTAAAAAAGAACTAAAAAAGAATTTACTATGAGTCTTAAGTCTTTCTTTAGATAATAAGTATCTTCTATAAGATAGGCTCCAATTTAAATAGTTAGTTATTAATTATAATAATAGATATAGATTTAATATTTAATGACTTATAATAATTACTATCTCTATAATATAATGAGCTTATAAGATATCTTAAAAATTATATATTCTTTTTTCTTTCTTACTAAATTACACTAAATCTTCCTTTTAATAATTATATAAGGCTTCTCTTATGTCAGCATATTCAAGGACTGTTAGCATTACCTTTGTCAGCATATCAAGGACTATCAGCATTACCTTTAGTCATTCAAGAAGACTATGATCTTTATAATTGGTTAGGTAAATACGAAAAGCCACCTAATTATAATAGGTCTATTAAAAGGTGTTCTATGGATAGACTATTAATGATGCCTTGACATAGGTCTAGCCTATTAATGATGCCTTGCCATAAGTCTAGACTATTAATGATGCCTTGATAATAGGTCTAGACTAAAAATGATGCCTTGACAATAGGTCTAGACTAAAAATGATGCCTAGACTATAATTGATTTCAAAGCAAGACAGGCCTAGACATAAAACAATGCAAGTCTAATATGGGCTTAGAATATTGTTGATTGGATATAAATATGTCCGCAATTCCCTACAAGAAAAAATTAATTCTTCTTTAATCATCATATCATACCCTGAGGTTTCCTATTAAGAAAATATCCTTTTACTTATCGAAGGATAAAAGACTTGATCTCCTATTAGATCTCCCACTGGATCTCCCACATCTTAGGTATTCTAAAAAGAGTATAAATATAAGTTTTCTATATTTATAAGCCTTATATAAGATATGATATTAATTCTAATAACTGAAGTAAGAGCAAAATATCTCTTTAACTTTACCTAAGATATCTATTATTATTAATAAGGCTTATTAAAGCTAAAAATAATTTATAATATTATACTTTAGATATATATAATAAGATCTAATCTTTATAAGTAGAAGTAGCTTATCCTATAAGAATATCTCTTATATTAAGAGATTCTAAGCGATAACTAAAATTAATAAAACTTAGGAAAAATCCTTTAATTAAACTAATAATACTAAAAATAATAATATATAGGCTTAGAATAAGGAGTCCCTTCTATAATCTTATATAATAATAGTTAATCTTAAATGAATAAAGATTATAGATTACAAGAAGGATAATAATAATAATTAGACCTGGCACTCACCCGCCCCGCGGGTCCAAGATCAGGAACCTCCACCCGCACCTCCGAGGGTCAGGGTCTAACCTCACCGACCCTGACCCTGACCCTAACCATCCGAGGGCCCCTTAAGGGTCACCCGCGGAGGGCCTGTCCCGACCCTTAGATAACGCACTATACCTATTTTGGATACGCCTTACTATTTTAGGATAAAAGACTAAGTGGATTAACACCTTAAATATAACCTTTTTGCCTAAAACGTGACTTTTTTCCTAAAATAAGTTACTGTAGTGGGAGAACTGGTGACATAATGAGCCTATGTGTGGCCTCAGGCATGATTTAATGTCTGCAGTGCATAGTACATCTCCAGACACACTTGGAGAGAGACAAGTCATCTACCCAATTCATTCAGGATTCACCCAATTTCTTTTATCCATGATGCAGCATTAAGATTATCCCGCACGGCCGCAACAGGGCATCAGTACGGCCTCATCCAGCATCCTCTACACCAGACAGGCAGTGTGTGTGTGTGTGTTGTCCAGTCTGCATCGCCAGACAGCCATCGAGCCGTTCCCATTTCATTACGTAGGGAACCTGAGGGTGACCCTGAGGGTGACCCTCGGAGGGTCAGATATTCAGATGCCCGACCCTTAGGGTCTAGAATTCGGACCCTCCACCCGCTAAGAGGAGGTATAGGTAGAGGGTCCGGAGGGTCACCCGCGCGTGAGTCCCAGGTCTAATTCTAGCTAAGAATACTTATCTATATAAAGCCGAACTTTTAATATTTAGAATATAAATATATATATATATTTAGGGAGACCTACTTTAATAGTTAATAGATATCTTTAAATAATATAAATTAGATTAGTTAATACCCTAAATACTTCTAAAGCTAGCCTCTTAATATTATTCCAAGTTAATAGCGCTTAGAAAGCTATCTAAAAGGTAATCTTAAAGAATATATACCCTATCAAGGTCTATTAAAGTATAGTGAAGTCTAATATTATATAAAAGTATCTTTATAATTATAAATATTACTTTTATAAAGTTACTACTTTTATATGTATAGAGCTAAATAAAAGCTCTAAGGTTATCTATATTAGCGGATAATTACTTAACTATACTATTAAAACTTAGCGTATATATATAGAATAGGTTATAGAAAGATATAGTAATAAAATTATTACTTAGTAAGCTTATAAGAATTAAATTAAATATAAGTTTTTAGAATATCTTAGACCTAAAAAATAATAGGATAAGTTTATAAACTTAAGGTAAGGGTAAACTTTATTCTATAATTATATAATTAACCTATGATAAGCTATATATAATTATAATATAGATATCTAAACTAATCCTAATTTAATTCTTATAAAAGGGTATAAATATAAACCTAAAGAAGCGTTAGATAAAGGATTAAGAATAAGATTATCTAACCGCTTTATAAGATATTATCTAAAGATTTCCGGTCCATGGACGGGTTCTGGAGACCTACTCCCTGCCCATGGGCCATGTCAATGTCTAGGCGTAATTGGCTGCCCAGACCACCGCAGAGATGACGCGCATCCTTGACAAGAGAGAGCAGGCGGAGGTCACAAAAAAAAGCGCAAGATTCGTACAGGGGTACCTCTCTCTGTCGGGAATACGATCACGCTCATAAGATCGCGGGATATTGCAGAGGCAGACAAAAAGAGGCGGAGGAGGACACGGGACGCTAAGAAACAGCGCGATGAAATGCTGCGCAATGACCAAAGTAAGGCCGCGGAGAATACAAAACGGGAGGCAGAGCTTAGATGGGGGACTGGACCAGATGGGGAGCTATTCTATTGTATAGATAAGCGAGGAGAAGTGTTGTACATAGGTTCTGAAATGCCAGAAGCGTAGAAAATGATAATTAGTCTAGGGCATAATTAGACCACAGAGGGCTTAGGATTAAACGGCCTTGTATATAGCCACTGATGATGAAAGTCCCTGCTGGCATAGCCGATGACTACCGATTGCCGTGTCTGTGGACCATGCACTATCTAGTATGTATAGCGTCCAGAGTGGAGTATTAATCTTTGCAAGTGTTCCCATGGGTACCCCAAGTTGAGTCGCACGGTAGGCGGCCTTCAACGGTGTTTGGTCCGGCAACGGAGCACTTAAGTTCAATTGCCGACAGCGTATGATAAGTTTTTCATTTGTTGCCATTTTCGTCATAGTCAACGCACGTACCCAGAGACAGCATAGACGGGAGTTCGGCATTTCGTGGGTACAGGCTGGGGTAAACGTGGAGAAATGCCGAGGAGACGCGGGGTATCTCGATCAGTTACCATGAACGGAACGGCCAAAGCTAGGATTCTTACACGTGGTGACCACCTTCGTATGCCGATTGTTTTGGATAGCCGTGTGGAATCGATATATAAATTGCGGCTACATATATGGAGTGATCTGATCTGTTCTATCAACGACAAGCAGACATTGGAGAAAGTCTATCATTGAGCAATATGCGATCTGCGGGTTTCACACTGTTGGGCTCCGCCATCCTCATCGGCCAGGGACTCTGTGATGGCAACCGCGAGAGCAATCCTAGAGCCATCCCAACACCGCAGCAGGATACTCCCTACTGTGCCCAACGACCTCCAGGCATTCTCTATTGAATTCGCCTACTTTCCTGACTATGCTGGAAACAAGTCTTATCCCAATGAGTTCTCCAAGAACCTTCTTGCCAACTTCAAGACTATCACGGGCGTGCCGCCGACAGTGAGAGTCGGAGGTACCTCTCAGTACGTCTAGATTTCTTGAAAAGCCGCTTTTCCCTTGACCAGAGAATCTGACGCACACACAGAGATCATTCATACTATCATCCCGACCAAGAGGAAAACATACAGCTTATCTATGCGAACCCGAATGACGACCAGCCAGATACGATCTACTATGGCCCAACATTCTTTGAGTCCTACCATACTCTGGGCAATGTCAAGTTCTTCCACGGACTAAACTTGAATCAGAACCACTCTATCCAGATACTTCAAGAGGCTGCGGTCGAGGCATGCACCTCGATCGGTCCTCAATTGGAGCTCTTCGAGTTGGGCAACGAGTGGAACTTTGCACCTGGAGAATACCGCGCAGCTAATTACTCAATGCTGGACTATGTGCATGAATGGAACCAGAAATCTGCCGCTGTTAAGGCCGCTGCTCAAAAGGCTTGCCCTGGACCTTTCCCCGGGTTCCTCGCGCCTAGTTTTGTGCTGGGTAACATCATCGAGAGCCAGTGGTCTGCGGAAGAGGTCTTCAACCTTGGCTACGATCCTCAGAGCTTGACCAGGGAGCTTTCGTTCCACAAGTGAGTTGTTCTCCCTTCATCACTCCCAATTTTATCCAACTGACTCCCCTCGCCTCAAGCTACATGGGTGTCAACGAGCCCCCCCCATAATCCTCCGGTGGATTGGGATCTCCAACGTATGGTTTCTGAATATAATATGTCGAAGCAAAAACTGACCGCAACAGGCCGCCTGATGAACCACACCAATATCCAAGAGAGTCTAGCATCCCAGATCCAGCGCGCCAAGAACCTCGCGTACCTCGGACATCCTTATGTTCTTGGAGAGCTCAACTCCATCGCGAACCAGGGCATCACTGGCGAAACAAACACATTTGGAGATGCCTTGTGGCTAGTTGATTTTTCCTTCTGGGCTGGCGCTCATGTACGATCATCCCAATGTCCCTTATCATTGCGATAAAACCCCGTTAACATATCCCTACAGAATATCAAGCGCCTCCATTTCCACCAAGGCCTCGACTACCGCTACGCGTCATGGCAACCGATCCTCGGCAAGGGGCAACCCCCTACCACTCGTCCCCCGTACTACGGCCAGATCATGGTTGCCTCTGCTCTTGGCCACTCGCACAACGCTCGCGTTGTCAACATTCCCTTGGATGAGGAAACCGAGTCTGCTTACGCGATCTATGATGGAGACAGACTGTCTAAGCTTGCCGTCATGAACATGCAGGCTTTCAACCAGACAACTACTGGTATCCGCCCGAGCAATGAGTACCAGTTCAAGGTCCCTGGCCACTACCGTCAGGCCAAGGTTGAGAGACTGATTGCGCCAGGAAGCGATGCTACAGAGGAAGTTACCTTTGCCGGTATCTCGTATGACCATGACCTTGCAATGGGTAAGCCCGTTGTGGTTGATCCCAAGGAGAAGTTTGTGGTGATTAAAGATGGTGTTCTCCGTGTTGTTGTACCTGATTCCTCTGCCGTTGTCGTGTCGCTTAATTGAGGTACTTCATCGTACACCTGAAAGCAATACACAACAAAACGTTGTTTCCGCGTTTACATATACTTCCAGTTATTATAAAGAGGTATCAAATTAAGCGGAACCCGTTCAGCGTGGTAATAGGAGCTAGCATTTAGGGAGAGAGACGTCTGTATTCGAAAGGCTATAGGGAAAGCCTGGGGATACCCCTATATCAATTCTCACCGTATCCATCCGCTACATCCCTATCCATCTCTTTTTTTGCAATTATTCAAGTTAATTTACAGCTAAAGATGGATCAAGCCCTTGAGCCAATGTCGGGATATCCAAAAGGAGACCGGAACCCTTTGAGCGGCAGAAATGAAGCAAATGGTCACGGAATTACCCGTAAGAATTAATGACAAATCAATTGTGAAATTTATGGTCTTGATATCAAATCACACAGAGCTCTATCTAGGTTTCTGTCTATCCCTTCCAACGATAATTCCTCCAAATACAAATTGCATAATGAAAATGTGTTATATAGGTCCTAGCTTCTTCGGAGACTGTTAAGATCTAGTTATTTAGGATAGAGCCTATCGACTAGATAGAAGATTAACGGCGTAGTACTGAAACTGCTCATTCAATCGCAAGACTGAATCTTAACAGATTTAAGTTCAGGGGACTATGAAACCCCTTATTATACACGAATCTATGTCGATCCTCAGAGGATCCTTCCCCTGAAGTATACTAGGGAATTGCAGCAGGCCTAATTCCTAACAAATACCTACTTAGAATAATCGCATGATAGCCCTTAGCAGCACGAAGAGGTGCTAGTATATTACTAGAGGGTCGTGATATGGTACGCGGCATGACGCTCAGATCCGCGGGGGAGCATGAAATTAGTGACTCAGGTCCCATCTTGTGAAAATGTCTTGAGAACACAAATCTCATCCCGCGGAAAAGCATGATTTCTTACATCGCTAGGCTAAAGTTAGCTAAAGCCGTAGCTATGAAAGTTCTCAAACTTCGAGACAAGAGAAGAACACTAAGACGAATCACGGTATAAGGACTAAGGCCCTAATCCTTGTCGGTGGTGAACAGGCGTCCTTTATGCACATCCGTCTACTATATCTTCTCGCAGCAATCACTAGCGTAGTCCCCAATTATCTTCAACACCTACTATAATATTTTCTTAGGAATCTTATACTATTACACGCTTTTGGTCCGTGCGCCTATATGTAAAGGTCCCGTAGACGGTAGGAACCTAATATGCTATTATATATAAAATATCCGAGATCTAAATACTCCTTACCTTAAGCTAATTAGTAATAATAAAAATATTAATAATATAGAATTAGTTATTGTCGGCATATAAGGGGAAAGCTACCACGAAGCACTTCGTGGCCCCTTAAGTCCGTCGGATCAACCTTAGTCCGGCTAGGTCAGTCGGTGCCGGACAAAGGAAGAAGTTCAAAGGTCGTAGGATAGACTATAAGCAGATATAGCCTAAACGAAGGCAGAACCACAGTCCTCAGGATCAAAGGAAGAAGGTAGAGATGACTTTGGAAAGTGGAAAATGACTTCAGGAGAGTGGAAATGACTTGATTCTATCTGCTAGAAAAGAAGGACGTATTTATAGGCTAGGATAGCCTAGAAATGACGTCTAGAATGACATACAAATGACGTACAAACACTAGGCAGCAACATAATGAAGGTGGCAAAGAAGGGAACCGAAGAGAAGCGAAAAGAATGATATCAAGGATCGACGGTCTGAGCCACCCCGAAGGCATCCCCGTAAGATCAGGCTATGCATGCCCAAAGGTAGACCATTTTACCCCTGAGGGAAAGTGGTCCGCCTATCCTTAAGGGGACCGAGGGTCGAAGTCTGTTCACCGAGGTCCGAAGACTATGGTCGAAGTCCGCGGGCAAGATATGCCCGAAGGCACCCCCGAAGGAATGGACCATTCATGCCTGAAGGCGGACTATTTACCCCTAAAGGAAAATGGTCCCGCCTATCGTTCGGGGGAGGGCCGCGGACCAGAATCAGAAGTGGTCAACATATCATTTTGATAGAAGAAAAATCTGGTCACGTGATCAATACAATCTGGTCTTATATGTTGAATATAAGGATAGATCTTTCTATGTAGCATTAGTCTATATTCCAATAATATCTAAATATATATTAGATAAAGATTTAAAGCTAAGTAGGACTTCGCTTTATACTTAGTCCTAATTTAGGAAATAAGCTATAATTATTATAAATATTTATTAGAATAATAATATCTAATAATTAAATACTAAAGATAACTTTATATCTAGCGATAGGGTTTAGAGAATAATTATTTAGTTTTTAATTATAAATTAATAGAGCCTTATATATATTTTTTTTGGAAGAAATAATTAATATTAGTAGAGCTAATTATATATATAAGATAAGATTATAAAACTCTTAATACTTAAGAAAAAAGAAAAATAAATATAATATAGTAACTAAATTTAGAAGCTTCTATTCCTAGATATTCTAATTAAATACCTAAATAAGCGCTCGCTAACCTTAGTAAGTTAATAATTAATTAGTTTAAAGCTAAGGGATAGTCTAAGTTATATATATAGCTTATATAAGTAGCTTATAAATATTTAGTTTATCTATCCTCTTCTAATATTATAGCTCTTTAAGATATTTATATATTAATAAGGTACTAATATACTTAGTAGCTAAATAATTAAGAATCTTTTAATATCTTATATATATTATATTAGGCCTTTTATTCTTTATATAAGCTATTTACTTAAAGCTATTCTAATAACTTATTTAATACTTTTTATCCTAATTAATTTATTTCTTTTTTCTATAATCTATTTAGAGCTATTAGATTATAAACTCCTTACTTATTTTATCTTTATATAATAGGAGTTAATTTATTTAGTTAGGTTTAATTTATATAAGGCTCTTAGGCGCTAAAGATACTCTTTATAAAGTATTAAATATTATATTAAAAGTAAGCTAGCTTAATAGGAATAAGCTTATAAATAAAGTATTATTTAGGATAAGATATTATAACTTATTCAATCTAACCTTTTTAATTACTAAGAATAAATATATATTAGAGATTTAGGATATAATAAATATATAGGTTATAAAAAGATAGAATAAGAGGACTTATAAAGGTTTTAGATAAAACAAAAGCTATTATATAAAGAGAATCTATTTATATTGGAATATAGACCAACGCTACATAGAAAGATCTACTCTTATATTCAACATATAAGACCAGATTGCATTGATCACGTGACCAGATTTTTCCTCTATCAAAATGATATGTTGACCACTTCTGATTCTGGTCCGCGGCCCTCCCCCGAACGATAGGCGGGACCATTTTCCTTTAGGGGTAGATGGTCCGCCTTCAGGCATGAATGGTCCGTTCCTTCGGGGGTGCCTTCGGGCATGCCTTGCCCGCGGACTTCGACCATGGTCTTCGGACCTCGGTGAACAGACTTCGACCCTCAGTCCCCTTAAAGATAGGCGGACCACTTTCCCTTAGGGGTAAAATGGTCTACCTTTGGGCATGCATAGCCTGATCCTACGGGGATGCCTTCGGGGTGGCTTAGACCGTCGATCCTTGATATCATTCTTTTCGCTTCTCTTCGGTTCCCTTCTTTGCCACCTTCATTATGTTGCTGCCTAGTGTTTGTACGTCATTTGTATGTCATTCTAGACGTCATTTCTAGGCTATCCTAGCCTATAAATACGTCCTTCTTTTCTAGCAGATAGAATCAAGTCATTTCCACTCTCCTGAAGTCATTTTCCACTTTCCAAAGTCATCTCTACCTTCTTCCTTTGATCCTGAGGACTGTGGTTCTGCCTTCGTTTAGGCTATATCTGCTTATAGTCTATCCTACGACCTTTGACCTTCTACCTTTGTCTGGCACCGACTGACCTAGTCGGACTAAGGTTGATCCCACGGACTTAAGGGGCCACGATCTGCTTCGTGGTAGCTTTACCCTTTTAGTCCAACAATTTATCTTAGTTATATAAAGATATAAGTTAATATATTATTTTATAAGCCCTTACTTAGCTAAATTCCCTTATCTAATTAGATCGCGAAGAGAGTAATCCTTAAGACTCTTAGGGTAACCCTTAAGACCCTTAGGGTAACCCTCTAATTATGTAGTCTTAAGTTTTATAATTAAAAATATCTAAGTCTAATAATCTAGATCTTTAAACTTATTTTATATAATAACTAAAATACCTATAAGAAATCTAAATTAGTAACTATTTAAATAAGTTTTTATTTATTTTATAACTAAAGAAATCTTTCGATTTAAGATATTTTTAGTAATAAAAAAAATATATTTACTATTATATAAATATAGCACTCTTACTTTACCTTTAATATATATTTCCGTAATAAAACTCTTAACTTTCTATAACCCCCCTTAAAAACTGGCTACCCACTATATAATTTAAGTTAAATTTCAGAATACTAAGATAATAATATATAAGTTATCTATTTATAATTTAATTTCTTTAAATTTCGTAGATATTAGTATATAATTAAGGAATAATGGAAATTGATACTAGAATAGCTATAAATAATAATATTTTTATAAGCTAAATCATTAATTTCATATATCCGAAATAGGAAAGGCGCGAAGAAATTATATATTTAAGGGTCCGACGGACCCTCCGCGAGTAACCCTTAAGGGACCTTTAGAGGGTTAGAGTCAGGGTTAAGGTCGGTGAGGTTAGACCCTAACCCTCGGAGGTACGGGTGGAGGTTCCTGATCTTGGACCTGCGGGGCGGGTGAGTGCTAGGTCTACTTAGGGGTTCTTTACTAGGTCTAGTATCAGAGACTATATATTCTTTAATATACTAGAGTACTAGCGAGGGCACCTAGATACCTATATAACCTTAGATATAGTCTAAGAGCCGTTTTATATTGTGGTTAGCTTTTATAATATATTTAATAAAGTTTCTTAGCTCGGCTTGTGTATCCCCTAAGAGGGGTAACTAGTTATTCCCCGGCGCCACTATAATAATAATTACACGAATATAGGATCAAATGATAGCGCATGGAGTTAATTAAAACCTAAGCAAATTTTAGTGGGCTTAGCCCTCGGCGTTGCGGTGCGATTTCAAAATTTGATTTACGCAGAGATATATATTTTCGCATAAAGTCAGTCAGATTTCGGTCGTAATAGAGATCTCGCATGCCTTCCAACCCCAATCCGAACGTTGTAAAGACACCACTCAATTTGACTATGCTCGATTGAGATTTTCCCAACACTTTCCAAGGGGATAAGCTGAGGTGGGTCGCCTTCTTGATATGGCTAACCGCTAGAACGTCCGATCGGTGAGTATTCAGTGTCTCAATGGAACACAATTTCAGAGGGTGTGCCTGTACCTGAGACAGATGGGATTTCTTAAGACAATAGTGTCATCCGGCACACTGTAATGTATATTCAAGGACAGCCGTTGAGGCACTAGATCTTTCATGCTTGTCTCACTCCGCCGTTGCCGCACAGTCCAACCGGGTGCTGCTTGTGCTTCAGAGAAAGAGCATCGTAAGTGACAAGAATATGCAATTTCATTCAGCGACGATTATGAAAACATGACCCTTTCAGCACTTTCCTTTACAAACCTGGACACACTATGCGTTGATCACGCGGCCAACCGCATTCCTGTGATGACATGCTAGGCCGATCTCATCGGCTGATCGCCGTGTAAAGTAGGTGTGGCCAGGTCCGCTAAATCAAAGTCTTGCCAAACTCCCCACCTGGGAACTTCTGATATAGGCAAGTAGGTGCAATCGAAGCGTGCCATTCGATGACATTAAGCACAAGGCAGATGCTGAATACGTTCTTTCTGAGAGTGCATCACCGAAAGGCGTTAAAGATTAATTGATGACAACATCCGCTAGACATTCCGTTCATAGGGATTGCTCTTACGAAGTTATCCATTTATAATACTATTACGGGGTGGCCCGCCCGGAGGTGGGAGGTGGGTGAGAAGCAAAAGGCATGGTGCGCTACCATCAGCTACATTATACCATTATACGTTCTGCTAGACCATGTCTCTGAGAAGAGAACTAGCCGCCATAGATTAGGAGTCTTCTCTGGCTTCATGAAAAACAGAATTCAGTGCTTAGGGTTCTCGGAAATGACTCTTTATACCACCGAACTGGATGGCAGTAGTGAGAATCAAGCAGACGCAAAGGTCCTGATATTGCTTGGTTCCAAACCATAGGATTGGTGTAGTATGGGAAATGTTAAAGGGTTCCGTCTGTTCGAAAGTTCCATGTCATTTATTTAAGTATGTCCTTGAATCTCTGCTGTACATACAAAAATCAGGTGTTCATAGATATCAAGTTACTAGGAACCCACGTCAGACTGAGTTGATTGAGGAAGTCACTTCATCGGTGATGAAATCAGAATGAAATACAATACAAGTATTCTGTACCAGTATGGCAGCAAATTGGAAGTACGCCGCAAGTCTTTCCTTCAATTGAGGCTAGGAGACATCGCCACCAAGAAGGAGTATAAGATATGATCAATGAGCGAGTAGTCGGTTTTGTTCTGAATTCAGAGTCAATTTCACGAAGTCTTAAATTTAGCCAAGGCCTCAATGATTGGCGGTGGCCCTCTCACTTTGCGCAGCGAAGTTTGATCTGAACTACGAAATCACATACATAATCATGATTGATGGCTTCAATAGGCGGTGAGAAGTGACAGAATAGTGCGATAGTTCGCTCCCGTCAACGCAGCTTCATCAAGTTTTAAGAAGATAACGAAACTCTCCCTCGTCTAGATTATGATCGCCAATTCAGCCCGAACAGACCCCCTGGCAATATTGCCACCGGAAATTGTGCTGCGCGTATTGGACTTTGCTCCTATCCCCGCTCTTGCGTCCTTGACAGCTGTCTCTCGCGCGTGGCACCAATTCATCGACGTCACTCACCAAGAAGCTATCTACTCTTCCGAGACCAAAACCACCAAAGACTCCAGTGTTGGACGTAACCTTTCAGCTTTCCCGGAATACACAAGCTTCTGCGGGCTTTATGAAAATATAACGTCATGGAAGGACCTTTGCAAGCGACAAACGCTACTCGACAAAAACTGGGCCAAGCAGCGCCCCGTTACTCGGGAGTCGGTGTTGCAAGTCGGCAATGATCCCGTTTGGAGATTCCGTGCCGATTTTCAACGCCGGTTCTTCGTCTCTACCTCACACGCCGGTGGCTTGAATGTCACCGACATGGATACCGGCCGGATTATATGGCGACTGCCCTCCACGCTGGTTCGAAATGAGTATGCAGTACGTCCTTATGCCCATCTGGAATATCAAGATGGGATGGCTGTGTTTGATCGAGAGGGAGATGCCGTTGAAGTGTGGCAGGCCGGTTTGGAAGGTGCAGCTCGTGGAGAGTTTCGACGAATCGCAATTTTGAACCATAATTGTCAAACAAGAGGATTCCAGCTGTCACATTGGACACTTTGTGTTGTTTCGAACGAAGGACTTGGATTCGTATATGACATGACCGAGCGCCCACCCAGGTTGATAACGCGGATCGGCATTGATCGTGGCGCGGTTGGTCATCTGGACCAATGCGAGAATGCTGTGATATATTCTCTCGGAGCCCAAGGCTACCATGTCCATGATAAGAAGTCGGGTGAACTTCTTGGCGTGCTACAGCCATCGCGCGTTTCCGAAAAATACCACATTCGACCACCTGCCACCCCATCTTTTTCTGCAGGCTCGACCTTGGCAGGTGCTGCACAGAACGGACTGGTATCCCAATACTCGCCGTCCGAAGCCCCTAGAAAGCCCTGTTTGAAGCCCATTAAGCTCGTGAATGGTCCTTTGCCACCGCCGAGCGACCCGGATCATGTCTATCACCGAGATGACGAATGGGGTGCTGGCATGCTTAACGGTGATCTTTTCGTTGGGTTCTCCCGCGCGGGTCGAGTGTTTGTATGCTCAAGCTGGCAAAAGGCTCTTCAGGACGAAGCTACTTTCGCCAAACATTGCTCTATCATCGAATGCGAAGCAGATGGAACCAGCTTTGACCTGGGCGGCTGGCTATCTGTGCGCAACCATCGTGTGATGTTCGAGATACAAGATCAAATCTATGTCGTCGCACTGGATGAGTGTGACAAGATTCAAAACACCGATCGACCCGTTCGTGCATCTTACTCACTAGTCACAAGTTCTGCTCCGCAGCTGGCTGTCCCAGTCAGCTTCATGGCGCTCTACGACGACGCAATCATGACCACCTACACTGTATGTCGCACATTTCCACGCAATAACAGGAATCAAGGTAAGAATCAGAGTTGACTTTCGACAATCTAGACCCTCGGCTGGCGCCAATCGCTCTCGAACATCCCAGGCGACGCTCCCCCTCCGCAGCACCAAAATGTCGGTCGTATTTTTCCATCCAAGACCATTCGCATTGTCAGTCTGGCTCCAGACCTGCCGGAAGGCAAATTCCCCGCCATCAATGAACACGAATACCAGGAGGAAATAAGTTGTGAATCCCTCAATCGATCGGACCCGGCAGTTGGAGAGGTTTGGCGTGCGCAGGCCGGATTGCTACAATTGTTCAGTATATTTGGTAATGAGTTTGGCGAGGAACATGACGATGATGACCATGATTTGGGTGATTTCGCCGCAGTCTTGCCCGATCATGAGATAGACGAGGAGTGGGAGGATGTCGATGAGAACGAGGACACCGCATGAGGATGAAGAAGAACATGAGGAACTCGAACGCCCTGTGCGCTCCTTCTACTATTGGGCTTCTGTGCAGCCTGCTAAACTGCCTGTCCGGGTAGCTTGGAATTTTCGTACTCAGGGCCAGCTGGCTACGAATTCCTTGTTCATGCAAAAATTTACTAACGAAGACAATAAATGGCCCGGTTACTAACCGCAATTTAGGCCGTAGAGGTGACAAGATCCACACTAAAATTGTCAAAGGCTGAAAGGCTATCTTGGACCGAGCGATATTACCAGTTCGAGCATTCTTGTGACAATGCAGGCAAAACGTGTTATCCCGGACATCGCTCGACTTGTCCATTTCTCAAAATTATCATCGAAGAAACACTACAGTCAATCAAATGGGCATCATACTAAGAATACTCATGTTCACTAATTTGCACCCCACTATTCGTTCCATCTCTCTACACGGCCAGCATTTTATTGTCTCATGAAATGTTTCACGCCATGAGCATAGGAAAAGACGTAAGCGATTTAGTAACTTCTTGTGAAGACTGATATTCATCCCAGACTAGAAGCGCATGATGGGCTTGTGAGCCCCTGGGTGCTGCAAAGGGCCTAGGTAAGTACCCTTTCCCACTCCCCGTTCCGTCAACACACCTTGAAATATTGTAGTTCAAGTACATGCCTCAAAGTGAGATCTTCAACTCTCTCCGATGGACCGGAAATGAGGTAATCCAGCTTCTATGAATAGCCTTACTTAGGCGATCATTTCCAAGGAAATCACCTTCGGAGTTACACTTAGAAGCATCAGAAGATTCGGGTTTCTGATTTGCTTCTGTCAGAGAGGACAACTGAAGATGGAGATGTATAAGAGTGATAAATTAATGCAATAAGAGAGTAGGCTAAGTAGGATACGTTTTAAACAGCTTCCATTCCTTCGGTTTAATAACTAGTGTAGTCACAAATACGCCAATGATTTGTACATATGCGAGTAGGCAATATAGATTAGTTGAGCAAGTAAAGTCAGAGACGCCTAAGATGTTTGAACAGGGGAGAAAGGGCTCTTAGTATCACAAGGCGAAGAAATAACTATTTACCTAAGATGAATAGAGGGCTATTAAGGTCTTAGAACTTTCCACCTGAAAGAACTTCTCATAAGTGTAGGAGTTTCCAGTTTCGATATGTGAGTGGCAGGACGCTTAATTACGATCGTAAGATAGGCGATACGCTAGAAATTGTATCAGCGGTAGTTTGGAATAATTCCTAACAAAGTATTTCCTGAAAATATATTACCAAATACTGAATAATAGGATAATCCGCTGTCTGTGCAGTCATTTGTTCCATACATATCGTGACGCATAACTATCTCCAGGAATCATGGAGAACGTGATCAGGAAGGAGCCGTTGGGCTAACCTAATTTAGGATAGAAGTGGTTTTGTTCTATAGTTACTCGTTTCCCTCTTTCTCTCTTCTTCCTCTCTCCAGTTTAGTGTTACGCGTTGCTAACTGGTCACGGTAAGTGGCCTGCGCGAAGATAGTACGTACCGAAGAATACTTAATTCTTATAGAGTAGAATTAGTATTTATACTAAGTGGGCTAAATACGGCCTTCCGGGTACTAACTATGAATCCTAAAACAATAACTAATAACCGTACCGTTTCCTAGTCTCTAAGCTTTATAAGGTCAGATTACTAAGGAGCTGGTAGACCTAGCACTCACCCGCCCCGCGGGTCCAAGATCAGGAACCTCCACCCGCACCTCTAAGGGTCAGGGTCTAACCTTACCGACCCTAACCCTAACCCTAACCCTCTAAGGGTCCCTTAAGGGTTACCCGCGGAGGGTCCGTCAGACTCTTAAATATATAATTTCTCTACGCCTTTCCTATTAGACCTCATAAAGAACATTTTGAGGGCTGGCATCTCCCGCTAGACCTGGCACTCACCCGCCCCGCGGGTCCAAGATCAAGAACCGCCACCCGACCTAGGCCTAAGAGAGTCGCGAACTTATACCCTTTACCACACACTAAATCTATAGATAATAGGGAGTTTAAATAAATTATTAAATAAGGTAGTAAGTAAATAATATCGTGTATTCACTAGGATACCTATAGTGCGTAGGGAAAATATAGAAGCCGAGCATAGTTTAAAATACAGAGGGTAGCCTTAGTCGCAAATATAGAGGGTAGCCTTAGTCAAAAATGCATAGGGTCGGGTTAGTCCAAAATGCAGACCTAACCTTATATATTTCTGACTAAGTCGACCCTATATATTTCCGACTAAGTTAATCCTACATATTTCCGACTAAGTCGATCCTATACATTTTCGACTAAGTCGATCCTATATATTTTTAACTAAGTTAATCCTATATATTTCCGACTAACTCGACTAAGTCAACCCTATTCCCTCTAAAGCCGCTTACACTTATATTTACCGCAGACTTTATAATAGCCTCAGATTACGATCTCAGTGACTTTAATTTAATTTAATTCAAATTCTATCAACCTAATTGAGCCTAAATAGTGTTATCGAGGCTATATAGGCGCTTTATCTAAATCCGAAGCAGAACTTATTATCCGTAACTCCAGACGCGTAGCTTATAGTAAATAGTATATATAAAGGAAAACCGGCCTCTATAAGAGGCCGGCATAGAAAAGAGTATTAGAATATCTATATCCTACGTATAATTAAGCCTATATAAAAGTTAAACCCAAAAGATAATACCTATAGTCTTTCACTTCTTCTGTCCCCTTGTCCCCGCTATATACTCCTACCTCTTTAGTGTTAGTTTTCTATTCCCCTTAAAAGGAAGAATACTAAGTGCTTCGGTTCTTAGTTAATTGCGATACGTAGTGAATAAATTATTATTTCGGTAGCCTAACTATTCTCGGTAGCCCGGTCTTATTATTCGGTAATATATATATAGTGTCTTTATAATCTTTCTATAGCCGTAAGGCCGATTTATTTATAATTATTATGTGGTTCCGGCTCGATATATCGGAATTATCCTAAGAGACCTATTCAATATATTATCGTAATAGCGTAGCGGGCCGCGCGTAGGTAGGATATAATAGTATCGTAGTTTATAGTGTTACTAAGGTCGGTGCGAGCGACCTTATTAAGTATAATTCTTCGCAGATCACTATATAGCGGGTATTAGAGTAAGATATATCTTGGCGTTTGAGATCCTTACTCGTAATAATAGCGGTCTGATTCCCTTTCTTTAATTTTATATAAGAAGTGACCTAGTCTAATACGTATCGACCTTATTTAGATAAGGATAGATATATATAGCTTCGATAGCCCCTTATATAGCTCTAAGACCTTCCGCGTTGGCGCCTTAATAAGGCACTTTATTAGCTAGCCTATCTTCTCCCTCTTTTATTATTTCTTCTATCTCTCCTTAATACGCTTACGGATATTACGCTTCGCCACGGAGGCTAGGCGGATAAA